ATTATTGTGAAGATCGCTTTCATTTATTCACAGTCGCACAAAAAGGTGTTGTCATACACGTTATAACGCTGTTTCTCTGCATATCGAGCGAATAAGAGGCTTGGACCCTGAGCAACCCCACAAAGGCCAAAATAATGGAATTAATCCTGGACAAACTGGTCATGGTAATTTTTTTTATTTTTTCCCAGAAACCATATACAAAGTCCTGAAGTCTCTCGCTCACGTATGAGCGCTCTTCAAAATGCCCAGAGTGGTAAAACCACAAATGGGCAGTCCGAGAAGACAGGCCACGAGAAAAAACCTATTATTCAGAGCCAGAGATTTAGTCACAAAAGAAAGCAGGTGGAGGACACCAGGAAAGGTGGGTCCACAGTAGCTGGCAAAAGTTTGATGGAGACCTCAAACGATCCTGGCTCAAAATATGCGCAAGATGATGGAACAGAGGGTAGAGGAGTACAAGGCATATCAGGGGCTGAAAAGAGTTCAACAGTCTTGAACAATGAGCAGCAGAATACGACAGTAGAAAGAGGAGCACAAGACACGAATCGTAAAACGCCAAAGAGGCGGCGTTCAAGAACAAAACGCAAAAAAAACAAAAGTGCAGACAGCGGTGAAATTCCCGAGTTACAAAATAGACTGCCAGGTAAAGCGACAGAAAAAGACAGTGAAAGCCGAGATGGGATTCAAAAGCAAGAACATAGGCATTCGCCAAAGAAAGCTGGTAGTATTGATAGTGTTTCACAGTCAGCCACCGAGGGGCAGAAGAGCAGTAGTGCAAAAGAAGTAACAAAGAAGCAAGATGCTGTCGACAAGAGAAAACAACCAAGCCAGAAAGTTAAGGGAAGAACAAAGACGGTTGATTCCTCGGGGAGCAAAGATGTTACGATGGCTCAAAGTCATGTGCAAGGTGATGCGATGATAGCAGATAGCCGGAAGGAAGACGAATTTGGACAACGAGAGAGGACGTCTCATCGGCAGAGTAGACGTTCAGGGTCAAGAGGTGCTGTTGGGGAGAGCTCCCCCCTCCGTGCAGCTCAGGAAGGGCTAGAGAGAATAAAGGATCGAGAAAATGCCCAGAGCCGAAAAAAAAATCAAAGTCGAAACGAAACAAGCCAAACTGTAAGGATAGAGAGTGAAGAGAAACAACGACCAATTCCTAAAGAAAAGAGACTGGCAAACGAAAGACAGAGTGCAGTTCTCAATGGTAACAACAACCTGTCGGAAAACGAGGCACGTAGCAGAGAAACTGAAATTGTAAGTGATCACGTGAAAATCGTGTCCGTGACTAAGGAAGGAGTCCCTTCGAGCAGAGAAAAAAAAGCAAAACAAGCAATTAACAGATTGGAATCTCAAAGAAAGCCTCCATCAGTCAAAACTATGACAGGTTTCCTCACAAAAACTCCACAAGAAATCGTTAATTGGTTAATCCGAGATCATTCATCCTTGTTTACAAAACAACTTAAAATCAAAGATGAAGCGGTTGCTGTCCTATTGAAACTTCTGGCCAAAGTTTGTGATTCCGAGTCTTCCAGCAACCTGAAGAAGCTTTTTAAAGTATTATCATCATCCTGGTTACTCAACCGAAGGGCTCTGGCCATTCTGAACCAGCTAACTGGGAAGAAATCGAAGACATCCCAAAATGAGCATTTCACTGTGGAAACAATCAGGGAAATGGCTAAAGTGCAGACAGAGATCCTTAAAAGATACCCAACTAAAAAGTACCCACTGATGGAGAAACTCCATGGGCTGGTAAATACTCGCAAGTTACAAGATCAAGGCGTGATCTCTGTTGTGCAAGAGCAACAGAAACTGTTGAGTAAGGAGAAAGTTGCACAATGCAAAAAAGAGGCAGTGCAAAAGAGAAAAAGTGCCAAAGCTGGTAATAGTTTCTTTTTTTCCTTAAATTTAGCAATTGATTGTTTTTTGGCCCCCAGGCTAACCTTTTCCATTCCATTCTTGTGTCCGTTTTTGAGCTAATTGACCAATACAAAAGCCCGTTTAGACACTGGCAAAAACTGCAACAAACGTCAATGAATCTCTGCTGACCTTGTATCGCTAAGGAGTGTGATAAAACCCGCCAAACTACTACTTATTTTGCACTGCAGAGTAACAAATATGTCTTGGTGTCACCTTCAACCTACAGATATTACCGATGACAACTCGAAGCCTCCCGAGAATTTTCGCGTGCTGCGTGTTATTCCAACCCGTGAGGACATCATTTCAAACCAGAGCCAAGACCAAAAGCTGTTCCTCAGAAAGAACAAAGTTGAAGGGCACTACAACGACGAGGAACACTATTTAGACGTTCAGTTTCGGCTTCTACGTGAAGACTTCTTAAGACCTCTTCGCAAAGGGATCCAACACTTAATGGGCAAAGACGTCCCTGATGATACCGATGACGATAATGTAGGAGATGTCAGAGTCTACAAAGATGTGAGAATACTATGGCCTGCGTGTACTTCAAATGGGGTCGCATTCAAGATTAAGTTTGATGTTACAGGTTTCAGTCGAGTTCGATGGGAGAACAGTAAGAGACTGATATTTGGATCATTGTTGTGTCTATCGAAGGACAATTTTAAGAGCTTCGCTTTTGCCACCGTCGCAAATAGAGAACTGAGCGATATAAGAAAGGTAAGAGTAATAGTTACTGAAACAATAATCGATAATCATGGACTGCTTCCTAGTATTTTGTTTTAATGGACTCTAGCTATTTCTTTTCCCGTACCCCAATACAATATGATCAGGAATTATATGGATCACAGACGGACCATTTGCCCTCGCCTTTAAACCTTGTTCTGCTGTTTCGAGCGAGGAAACTCTGCGCAGAGCACTAACCTCTTGGATTCAGTCATTATGTACCAGTGCGTACATCCAACTTACCTTAACTGGGAAAGAAAGAGAATTCAAGTTGTCCTTTATGTTGTCGTATAACAGTATGTGAACATAAAAGCTGTTATCCTGTCTGTGGGAATACACTTTTTTTAATCTTTTGAAATTTTTTTATTATAAAACTCAGGGTGAACTAGAAGTGCAGTTTGTCTCGCCTGGTGGTGAAGCCGGAATACACACGGGAGATTTATGCCAAATGGTTGAGTCCATAGCTTTCTTTGAGGCATATCGTCCAGTGCTTGAAGGATTGAAGACGATAACTCCCGGAGAATTTCCTTTTCAGGTAATAATCATTGTGTCAGGCTAGGAATGTTCGCCAACTTAAGACTGAGCATGTCGACATATAGTAGTGCTCGTAGTATTCAAGTCTCCTTCAATCCAACTTATAAAACTTTTGCTCAATGGGTTGTGTCCTCCAGAGTAGTACAATAGGAAATGATTTATTCTGGCGTGAAGCCAAACTATATCATGGCGTGAAGCCAAATTACATAATGAGATCAAATGGAATTACTAGCGGATGACGGATGAAGCATGTATTGATCTTGAAGCCAAAGGAAAACACCTTTCCTCTAAGTAACAGTTAGTGGAACTCCTTAAAGCTATTCCTTTGTTTCCAATGCCAACCGGCGTGGAATATTTATTAATATGGTGTTGACTTTTTTTTAGAGATACATTGTGAAGTGTCAGACAGATGTACAACCACCAGCCTACCTAAGGAAACCCGGTGGTCACCATGCAAAGTTCGATTTTTCTCCTCTTTTTTCAAACGAAGAATCACTTGATCACAAGTAAGGGGAGACTCGGCAGGTTCATAGATGCTATGTTAATTCATCTGCTGACTAACTGACCACTTAAAACCAAATAAGTGCCCCTCTCATGTACCTTCGCTAATTTTATGTGTGATGTTCCAAAGATGTCTCCTGCCAGGAATTACGGATCAAAGGAAAAGGGACTTGATTTTGATGGTTAACGGTTTAAGTTATCCATTTTGATTGGTGACGGTTAAATTTCCGCCTCTAATGGCTGACGGTTTGCCCCAATGATACCCTCTTACAGATGTGACTAATGAAGTATTAATAAAATGCAACGGTAACAGGGTTGTGATTAATCTGTTGAAATGTGTTCATAAGTTGTCATGAGGTGATCTGCATTCATTTTCAGGTCGAGTCCCGCAGGTGTGCCAAAGCGTGAGAATCCTGGTGGTCTTGAAGTCTCAGGTAAAAGAGAAAAAAAAAGTTACAGCAAAATCATGTTTTTATGCTCTCGTTTTTTTAAAAACTTTTAAAGAGGTTTAGCTGTGTTACTGTCAATGAGGCACTTGTAAAGATAATTTCAAGGGTGATTTTAAAAAAGCTGTTTCGGAAAGACCTGATAGCTAGTAGCATCAATGGATGATTTCAGTTCAACGGTTTTGTTTACATTATCTGTATGTTCAAAAGATACTACATAACTGGAACAAGAACAAACATCATCTAATGTAAAGTTGTTTTAATTTGAAGTATATACCCAGGGTGCGGGGAATTTTTTTGATTAACCGTAGAATTAGCTCAGATCAGACTTGAGTGTATATGTGTACGTTTAGACCCACTTTGATATCATTTACTAATTTCTAGTCTCTTTTTGGATATCAAAATTAGTTTCGCAGATGTCATAGGAATCCCTCTCTTTATAGATAATATCGTGTTTATGAAGCTCTTTTTCAAATCACACTTGTCAATCACGACACAAGGTTGGCTACCGCAGACTTTCTCAATTTATTACAGTAGTATGGTCGAATATAGGTTGCGTCAAATGTTGGCGCAGGCCAGCAGTTGGCGGTTAGCTGATTGCAACCACTACTCTGAGTTCCTCTTTGGAATTAAAATTTCTAGGTTACCATGCTGGACTATTGGTCTCAGTGTTGGACCCAGCCTCCTGGCCGGTGGCGGAGGATCTGAAGTTGGATGATTCACAATTTAACGCCTTACAGCTGGCGCTGACCAAAGAGTTTGCAGTAATCCAGGGACCGCCAGGCACCGGAAAAACCCACATCGGATTGATGGTATTTTCTCCTTTTTTCAGGAGATTTTGTCTTAAGACTGAAGTTAAAAAGAGATAGTTGGCATTTATCTAATCTCATATCTCTCTCTAGCTGCTGGGGAGGCATGTCAAATTTTTTTCTGAAGCTTTCCTAAATATGTACTTTCTTGGGTTAAGTGCTGTAATCGCTGTTGACCAGAAGAAAACAAGACGTTTTATCGATACCCTACGGGCATAACGTCTAAAAGTACTTCTTTTAAAAAGTGCTTTAGGTTGCTAAGGATATCGAACTTATTATTTTCTTTTTGTAAAATGTTTTACAGATAGCAAAGGTTCTTCTGCACAACACAAGCGTTTGGCACGGAAGAGAAGGAGGACCTATTCTTGTCGTCTGTTACACTAACCACGCTCTGGACCAATTCTTGGAAGGAATCCACGCCTTTCACCCGGAAGGAATTGTCCGTGTTGGAGGAAGAAGTAACAGCGAGACCATTCAAGAATGTAGTCTCGCAAAAATTAAACAAACAAGGAGGGAGGTAACTGAAAATCATATGTATAACATCTTAAGTGAACAAACACTCCACTGGAAATTTAACGACGGAACAAATTCACTAGCAACGTTTTCTGGCAAGGTGGAAGGTAGGCCTTGAGAGCTTTAAGACATTTAACAACTGTTTGTGGTGAGAATTATGACCAAACACCGTCATATATTTAATATAAACAGTTTCTTACAATTCAGACACAAAATTCATGGTTATGGCTTGTTGAACACACAAGAGAGTGTAGAAACTACATAACTTAAATTCATATTTTTAAATTGAAATTACTGAAACTGCTTTCAAAGCTTATGATACTAATAATTCTGTAAGTATATGGCATACTAAAGATACTGATTATTTGTGAAAGCATGGATATATATATATTTATCTGTTAATTATTTAGGAGAATCTGACCCCTGTTCAAATCAGAAAAGCTTATGGTCAGATCCGAGGAGAAATGAGAAGTCTGTCAGCCTTGATTGATGATCACGAGGAAATGTTGCATGAGTTATCGAGGACTTTGCTTCACGAGGATGAGCTTGTTGATTACGGCATGGTCCAGAAGCATTACGATTCCTTGACGAGAGGATCACGAAATAATGGGGCAAAGAAAAGAGAATCAGTCATTCCACAGTGGCTTGGGCTTCCCGTAGAGCCAGCGGACCCATACCAAGAGGGTAGGATATTTTCGCAATATCGAAGGAGTAAAAATATCACGCGTTTTGATTTTTTGTTGTTTTGGCAACTAAGTAGAGGGAAATGTTTTTTTTGTCTTGACGCAAGTGTGGGGCAACCCAAAAAATTTCAACATTGCTGCATTATTTCTCAAGATTCACCTTTCAACAGATCTTTTTAAACAATCTAAATTGTAGGTTCAGAGCCACCTTAAGATACCGGTGATTTCAGTCGAGGCAACCACTTTCCGGTGAAAGTGGCCGTCATTCCTTTTCGCTTTATTGGTTTTTAATCGACCACTTCACATGATCCCACCTCATCAATATTCATGACGATAAAATAGTGTATTCCGGGCTCCTTCTTTTTTATACTATTCAACTGTGACATTATTTTATAATAATCTGTGAATTCTTCGCATCTGTTTCAGGTTTCGCTCAACCTCTTGCTATGTTTCCCTTTAATGCTGAGTGTGGAGGTTTGGAGTATTTCTCTCAAGAAAATATAGCTTATTTATCACCACGTGTTCAGTACACCCCAGGTGTCGATGGGAGTCCAGGAGGCTCTCTAGAACTATCCGGATTTGCTGACTCGTTCATCGAGATTCCAAATTGGTGGGGAGGGTTTGCAGACGCTGCGGTTTCCATAACGTTGCTAGCATTTATCTACCCTTTGGGAGGAAGCGGACCAATTGTTAGCTATGATGTTCACGGCTGTGGTGTTCAACTTTGGCATGATGGTTTTGAGGAAAAAATGGGTGTATTGACAGCTTACTTCACTCAAAGAGATCTTTTGCCCTCCGCGTTTTATCTAAGAGCAGCTGTTCTGCGCATAAACGAATGGAACTTCATCGGTGCCTCCTACGATCACGACTCTGGATTTGCTCGTTTGTGGCACAATGGAAATGAAGTAATGGCAGTATTTATTGGGGAGACGCATTTGGCGACGCAGTTCCCCATAAGGATCGGTGCTCTCGCGAGCACCTGGGTGGGGTATAGCTTCAAAGGGAGAATTTCGCATTTGCACATATACGCCGAGTCACTGACAGCCGAGAACATTCGAGCAGTCGGAGGCATGTCTTCACACGGCAAGTTTAATTAGTTTAAATCTCTCTAAAAGGAGATTACAGTTTCAGCAGGAGTCAAAATAAGAGACTTTTTCCTCATGCTCCTCCTCACGCAGTTTCAATCAATTCCAACCACTTTTCCTACAGAAAAATAGGCAAAGAAAAACTGCGTTACATTTCGATGCAATATATGGCGCCTGCTATGTTGGATTTCATTCTTTTTCAGAGAGATTTCTGAAATTTGATTGGCTCAGACCAGAAGTATTTTAACCAAACTTGAAATACTTACATGTAAAAATCACAGTTTCCATGGTAACCAAATTATATTGAAAATATGTATGAAGAAAACGATTTGATTTGCATTATAATTTTAAAAAAATCATGATTTCTTCGGAGTATTTGGGATAAATGCCCGCTCATGATATTTCAAAATTTCCCCAATATCACTTGCCTCCTCGCGGCTCGTAATATTTTGGTGAATTTTTAAATATCACGTGCAGTTTCTATCTCAATACCCCATAGAAACCATGCTATTTCCTGCACTTATTTATTGTTTATCTTACTTCTGTGATTAATGATGAAACTCAATTTTTTAAACAGAGACATACAGGTTCAGCGAAGAGAACGTAGGAGAGGCAAGAGGTAAAAACAACGAAGAACAAGGAGAATTTGACTACAGGGAGAGTTCCGCTAATTTTCGATTTGACGCTAATGTCTTGCAAGATCAAAGGATACTAGAAACGGATGAGGTTACCAGATTTGGGCGCGAGTCTTCCTTGTCTCATTTGAACACGAACAACACGAGCGATGAGTGTGAGTTTCCAATGTGTGCTCATGAAGGTGCATCAAGGGGCAACTGGCAATTCCAGAATTCAAAACGAATTAAGCAAAAGATCAAACGAATTATTCAGAGAGAGCTTCAGCGAGAAGACGTAATGAGTGAAGAAGAAGCCTCTGAGGTAATTTCGCAAACCGAATTAGTTTGTCTATTATTTAACGAACGTATATTGAGAAATGGTAAAGAAACCAGTGAGGCACGTGGTTGATTCAAACCTCATCACTTATGAGGGTAAATAGTGAAAATATTCTTCTTGATGTCGATTGTTACGTTTTAGGTGGAGGATGTGTGGAATTTGTCTGAGAAAAACCGCTGGCGTCTATATCGCAGATGGATGTTCGATGCACGTGAGACTTGCGCCGAGCATATCTGTGATTTCCAAGAATTGTATGATGATCAAGTTCTTCAGTTAAAAGAAGTAAGGAAACAAGAGGAATGCGAGATCCTTAAAAAAGCTGATGTCATTGGAATGACCACGACAGGTAAGCGGCGACTTAACGAAAACCCGACATTGGTGAGTAGTCGTATAAGAGAGGTTTCTTTCGTTTTGATTTGTGCGAAGCAGCCGTCAAGATGTACTTAATTTTGCTAACCACGCGTCCTGTTAATTTCGTGGCCGACGAACTGTCGATATTTTCTGACTGAAGGAGTTCGACTATAGAAAGGATAACAAGACTATTAACATATAATTCTGCAAATACTGCTTGGTCCTTAGTAGCTATTGCGTCCAAGAAAATGGTCTCTTTTGCCTTTCCAACAACAGATCCGGGTCTCGGGTTGAATCACCTTGTACAAGGTATTCCTGTCACTCACACCAGGTTTAAGCGGATCGTTTTATCCCCATCTCTTTTGGTAAATGGTGTGTTTAAGCTTTGAAGAAAAGCCTGGTTTTAGTGAACGTACTTTGTCTCTCTCTTTGAAATTTGAGTTATAACAATTTAGCAACCTTGCAAAAAGACAGTGTTAGTGAAAAAATCATTATTTCATCAATGAGAACTTTAAATCCTGGTCTTAAATTTTTGTCTGTGATTGTGGAAGTAGCTTGTAAAGATCTTGCCCGAGGACTAGGCAGGCAGCAGGGTGTCATCATTCACACCTGACGTTTGAATGATGACACCTCATCTGTCTTAAGAAGCGCTCTAGACAGATGGTGCTTTATCATGGATGTCATGAGTAATTCATGTACACAGAATAATCTTCTTAGTTCTTCCCGCATTTTGGAAGAATAGTCAAAGTGTTTAGAGAATTTGAGAAGAAAAGTCTAAAGATAATTACCACCAGTTAAATCGAAAACGAAGCTTTATGTTAAACTGATTCATTAATTGTTTAGAAAGTGAACAAATGCTATGTCCTTAATGGTTTGTATCAAGGTGCTGCCCGGTATCACAGTTTGCTACAAGACATTCAACCGACAATTACTATCGTGGAAGAAGCCGCTGAAGTGCTAGAGGCGCACATTGTAACCTCTCTAACCAAAGGATGTAAGCATTTGATTCTGATTGGTGATCATCAGCAGCTCCGACCCAATCCCACAGTCTACGATCTCCAAATCAACTACAATTTAGACGTATCCTTGTTTGAGAGAATGGTAACGAACGGAATGAAGTTCTCAAGGCTGAGCCTACAGCACCGAATGAGACCAGAGATCGCCAAGATGCTGGATCACATTTATGTAGAACCGAAACTGGAGAATCACGAGTCTGTTAAATTTGAAAACATAGTGGGCGTGGAAAGAAATTTGTTCTTTGTGAATCACAGAGAGAAAGAGGTAATATATAGATTTAGCCAATCCTAAAAGCAGAGCTGGCTTTTTTTTCCCGCACGTCTTAAGGGCACAACGCCTTGCCCCGGCCAGGACTAGAACCCGGGTCGTCCGACTCGGAGCCCAGTGCACTGACCACGTGCCCGTGGTACATTTGACCACGCATGTTAAAAGTAGCACCTTGTAAGGTCGTACGGTCGTACGGTCGTACGGTCGTACGGTCGTACGGTCGTACGGTCGTACGGTCGTACGGTCGTACGGTCGTACGGTCGTACGGTCGTATATCCAAATTATTTCGGCTCGATGGGTTACTACTATTTTGTATAATTATGGGGCTACGCTCTGCGAGCTCCGCTATTAGACAGTGACTTGTTTCTTTGTCGTAAATTAGAAGAATATTCTGCATATATTTTGTTCAAACAAGGGTGCATTATTATGGCATCATTTGAATTAAAAGAAAAAGAGAGCTTGAGAGGGCGATGCAATCTAAAAGGCGGTCCTAGTCTCGTGTGCATATTTTTTTTAATGACACTTTGCATTATCCTGACTTCCCCTTTATGCTAGTTTTAATGTCTTTTATACTCGGTCCTCAGTAGATCAGACCTTTCTGTTGAATTGTATATGCCATTTTTCGTTCTTTTGACTGTGTGAATCTTTTTATTTCTCCGTGCAGAATTCTATTCGTGAAGGAAAAAGCAAATCCAATGCCCACGAAGCAAAATTTTTGACAGCACTATGTCGTTACTTCATTCAACAAGGTTATCAGCCATCACAGATAACTATTCTCACAGCCTACAGTGGACAGCTCGTCGAATTCAGGAAAGAGATGATAGACGACAAAGAGTTTTTTGAAGGAGTTCGTGTTACAGCAGTGGATAATTTCCAAGGAGAAGAAAATGACATCATTCTTCTCTCGCTCGTCCGCAGTGAAAGGATTGGTTTCCTCAAAATTGCAAATCGTGTTTGTGTCGCTTTATCACGAGCTCGTAAAGGCTTCTACATCATTGGAAATGCGACTCTTTTAGCAGAGGAAGACTCTAATCTTTGGGCAAAAATCATCGCAGATATGCAGGAGGATGGCAATCTAGGCAATGAATTGAAACTGGTTTGTCAGAACCATCCCCAGAATGTAATTCACGCTTCTTGTGCTGAGGATTTTGAAGACTCTCCCGAAGGAGGTTGCAAAGAAAAGTGTATGATTACTCTGGAATGTGAACACGTCTGCGAGAGATTATGTCACCCGATTGATCTTGAGCACAAAGAGAAATTTGCTTGCGAGAAGCCTTGTACCAGAACCATTTGTGACCTTCAGCACATCTGCCCCAGGACATGTGCCGAAAAGTGTGGTCCTTGTATGGAGAGAGTGGTGAAGGTCATCCCGGGATGTAATCACGAGCAGCTTGTCCCTTGCTCCATCGATGCTACTACCTTCAAGTGCCAGGCGAGGATGTCAAAGGAAACCTCTCCCTGTCGCCATATCAACGAGGCGGAGTGTTTTGTGGCCCCTGCTGACATCACCTGCAAGGAGCCTTGTAGTAAATTAGAGTGTGGACATCCATGTCCCGGTAAGATAATAGGTCTACGCTTTTCTTAGACATAATATTAGGATCTATCTTTTAGAAATAACAGGGGAGCAAATCCCTTCCAAGAGCTGCTGTCCGGAAATCAGAAGCAGATCGAAAGTGAATCTTCAAGGGCAGCTGGAACATATTTTGGGCATCGGCCGGAGTCATTTTCAGAGAGGATAAGTTTTGTAGCTCCACGTAAACTCAAGTTTATCGTTTATTACCTTTAGCAACTAATGCACGGGTGGTAAGATCTGATGGTGCGTTACTTTAGCGTCCCTGTATGCATTCATTTTTTCTCTAACGGGGCTAGGAGCGACAGAACGTTCAGCTAGAAAGGCCTCAGAAAACGTTATCTGGTCATAGAGAATGTTTGGAAGGCTTTTTCAAGTAACCAATTGTAATTAGCTGTTCAACTTTCACTCTAGAAAGAAAACAAATTAACGAGAAAACTCCTCTCCTCTGCGCACGTTGGCTGTGCTAATACTTACCTTCGTCACACATCAAAACGGTAAGGTCTGTTGACGGGAAGCAACGATCGCAGCACCACTGTTGATGTTTGTTAATCCTTTATCTTAAAGTTTTTCTTTTAATGCTTTTCGTTTAGGTTACTGTGATCGATGTCAGGGAGGCCGTCTCCATTTGCCGTGCCGGTCTCCATGCAGCCGAACACTTTTCTGCGGCCACACTTGTGTGGATAAATGTGTAAAGTCCTGTCCACCCTGCTCATCAAAATGTCGTAATCATTGCGATCACCAAATCTGTAAACGGAGTTGTGGTGATCCTTGTCAGCCATGCTTTGAGGAGTGCTTATGGCAGTGTCCACATCATAAATGTACTAAACGTTGCGGGGAGATTTGCGACCGACCGAGATGCGATGAGCCATGCTCTAGGCTGTTACCGTGTGGCCATGTGTGTGTCGGTGTTTGTGGCGATATTTGTCCCGAATTATGCCGAGTTTGCGATTCGGTTGAGTTCCACGAGAGTGCGTCTGGAGCAATGTTCATTGAATTGGTTGACTGTGGTCATGTGGTTGAAGTTGGGCAACTGGACAAATGGATGGACGGAAGAGATAAAGCCGACGCACAGACTGGAAATGACGATGCCGAAATCAGATATAAAGTTTGCCCAGAGTGCAGAACTCCAATTCTGTACAGTCGTAGGTATGGAAAACTAGTCAAGGAAATTCGTGCCGATTTTGAAGCTATAAAGCGTCGAGTTCGTCTTGCTGATGTCACAAGCATTGACCAGATACAGAGGATTCGGCAAGAGGCTCAAGAGGTCAAAGAAATTCCGAAGATATTGCTTGAGGACATCGCCAAATGCGGCACCGGTGGTCGTAGTACTTGTGAAGAAGTCCACACTTGTGAAAATCGAGTGACTTTCCTGAAATTTCTTGGAAGTTTAATCACAAAGCACAAGATCACAAAAGAATCCAACTGTGAGCTATATGACAAAATAAATCTCCTGAAAGCACGGGTAATGATGAGGCGGGATTGCTTCAGTGAACAGGAACTCAATGAATTTCAGAATGAGTTGTTACGAACAAAGCTTCTGGTGTCTTTCGAAGGCCTGACGACTACTCTCGAAACTAACAAGTCAGTCCTCAGTCTCTGTCCTAGTGATGCCAAAACTGTAGAATCTATAAGAAGTGCTCTGGAATCCGGCAAAGTAATTGGTACGTATAGGTATAAGTCACATAATTTATAGAAAGTTCAAAAACTCATTAATAATTCATAAGCCCATTAACCTATCAAATGGTAGATAATACATCACGTGCAGTGACTTTATATCGATAAACCTCATCCTTATTAGTATGCGGTGTTTTATCAGATATAAAGACACTGCACGTAACTTATGAATGTTTTTCTCGTATGCTAATTTGGATACGCTTGGATACTAATTTTATCTTCGAGTACGGTGTTAATAACTTCTTTCATGAGTGAGAGGAGTGATCGAGTGAGAGATGTTATCAACACGAGAAAATTAATTCGTGTCTGAAAGCAGGCATGTATTTTTCTGTTTAAAGTAGATTGGTTATTTGAAGCAAATACAATTTTGAAACTCCGTATGAAAGAGCAACGATTGCAGAGATAACCCGCACGTAATCTCAGCTCGAAGAAAGCTACTTCAACTTTCGGCATAAAATATTATGACTATTCCTCGTAATTTCCCTGCTAAAAAAGTTAAGTCAACCAGAAAGCGTTTCGTAGATGTAGTACACCTTTTCGAGAAAAGTAAGAACCGCCCTTTTGATTAATACGGTTATCCCGACGACATTAATAGCTTCACATGTGAAGATACAGATGGTATACGTCCACTACGTGTGGTGAAGACACTATGGTTTGGAAACTGGAGAAATTCCGTCATTTCATCGATATAAACATGAAAATACAAGTTATGATAAGTTTTTCGATCACGGTTCGCCACCAAACGAATCCAGATTTACTGACACCGTAGTGTCCACCTGATTTTTTAGTCTTTTCCACAAAAACTCCTCTACTTGCCCTGTTTGTATATTCGAGTATTTATTTGACTTTGAATATCTAAATTTAGTATATACTAAAACAGTAAATAGCGTTGAAGGCACGCCCTGATTGGCTACTCAAACTCCAAACATCCTGTGCTATTCAACTCCGAGCGACTCGCGCGGGATTTGCCCTCGAAAATATTTTAATCGTTGCTGGAATAAATTAGATAAAATTGTTTTTATGTGCTACATTTTCTCACTGTTTTAGTGTATATAAAAACAACTGTTCACCTCAGGTCGGTGTCTAGCGATGGATATTTACCTCGCTCCTTCGTGGTTCGGTAAATATCCACCACTAGCCACCTCAGTCCACTTCGGTTTATTGATGTCAAATATGATTTCTTCGCGTAATCTCAAGTTATTCATTCCAGTCGGTGGGACTGTGGATAAGCATGTGATGAGAGGTTACCTACTCAGTTGCACAACCGAAATAGGTTCAATGATGCTGTGTCTCATTTTATAGCTCGTAACAAAATAGAAGAGTTCTTGAATGATATCAATGGAATAGAGCAGAGGCATGGGCTCTCAAAGAAAGAGGAGGAAAATTTTTGCTTAGAAAAGTTGAGGGATGAGATTGTCAAGTCGAAGCACTTAACACAAGGACCCTGGTACAAATGCAAGAAAGGTTAGATACACCTTGTTAAGATTTCTTAAGGAGTTACTGCGGAGTAGAAGGGTGAATACTGCCAAGGAAAACTCAGTGAAAGCAATTGCTGTAAATGCACGGATTGATTTTGTCGAGTCATTTATCATTACATTGAATTAATGCATTTATTATCCACATCATACACATCCATTCTTGTTCCCTTTAAGGTCATATTTACCCAGCTGCAGAATGCAGTGAAAACGAATTCTCGATTAAGTGTCCAGATTGTCTTGCAGCAGCAAGGACTACTGAATCACATACCAAGGTACTCATATCAAATATCTAGAGTGTTGCCAACTTGTCTCAGGTCTGAGAATGTACCTTCAGCGACAGGTAGAATTAAACCACAATAATAGAGTAGTAAAAAAAATGGCGCTAAGGGAAAGAAAGCGTGCAACTTACCGCCACAAAGATACACTAAGCAGTATGGCTATCAAACGTGAGCAAGCCAGGCACTAATTGGTTCAAGAATTGAATATTTTTTAATAATTTGGCGTTTTATTTTTTATTGAGGAACATACGTTCTGGTTTTGTGGTATCCATTCACTTCAAAAACATCTGATACCAACATCAACTCTAATTGAGAGTGCTTTACTCATTTTTTCCACAGACCGTTCCTACTCCGGTGAAACTCAGCGAGTTCATGAATGCGACGTTTAAAAATGAGTTCGCGGTGAGCTCTAAAAGGCGGAGGAAAAAACGCCCATCCAAAACTTCCAAGGCCCACAAATGAGCTCTTGAATTTGAGAGATTTCTCAGACGTTCAATCATTTCAAACTGGGGATATTATTTTTATCGATAATCGTCTATCTTAACCGTTCCCTTCCTGATTTACAATTATATTCTTTTAGAAGTTCGACAAGCACTCTAATCAAAAAATGAACGTCACAAAAAGAATGATTTTATAGTCATAACCTACATGATTTACTGGTTACAAGAAACTAATCAACCGAAGAACTTAGTGTTAAATTGCTCCTTACCACACCAGTTGCGGGAGTTTGATTCTGCCGGCAACCAGTCTGAATATTGAGGGAAGATAACTGGCGAAGTAGTTCTCTCCAAGCTTTTCGATAAAAAATTAAGCGCCAATTTTAAATGACGGTTTTTTACTTCCTGTAGGGGAGGGGTAACGAGAATTTAAAGCCTTTGCATTTATCTTGAATACGGCTATTTTGAATTGTTATGACCTATTAAAATAAGAAGTGTTTGGGAACTACTAAAATTGGGGATGTTTTGACTAAGTGTTTGGAAATTGTTTCGGTCTGTTAGGTCATTTTGGAATCCTTATGCGAGTCTTATGAGCCTTGTTTTGTTATGAGCTGACCTCCTTTTATTTTTACCTCTTGAGTGATGTGTCCTTGACTGTTGTGATAGGATTTAATTCTCGCACGATTATCGCCATCGCTAGTCATGTTTGGGTTTGTCTTTGACCTTGCTTAGAATCTTCAATGGGAGGTTTTGTTTGGGTTTTGGTTCTCGAATATTGGTTGACGGATGTTAAGTACTTTGTTTTTCATTTCGAATGTCTTTTGAGGTTGTTTTGGTTAACCTTCTAAAAACATGTTTACTCTGCCGAGGTCAGTTGTCCTGTAAGCCCAAACATCCCTACCGATAAAGTATTTAAGAGCGTGTACTAAGAGCTGAAGTAATAGAAGTGAGACCGAGTCCCAGAGAGTGAAATAAAGGTCCTGAACAGACTCCTGGTGCCTCCTGTTTGCACGCGTGGTGTTTAAGTTAGTCTACGTCAACTGTCCAGCAGAATTAAAACGACCTTTTTTTTCGTACTTTTCCCACGATACTAAAACCTATGCTCTCCATTTTTCATGGTACCAAATTAACTTTGGTTCATTCAGATCTGTTGATCAGTCAGTCAAAATCGCCTGGTGAATGAAGTCGGTTTTAAAAAGCAAATCTAGAACTAATCATGACATGTTTACTGTACTGGTTGAACCCCCAGTTATTCACGCCTACGCTACGAAACAGATTTCGCCCCATAAACGATGAAACATTTAATCAAGTGACTATCTATAAGAGCCTTATATCATGATAAAGCCTTTATAGAAACAAAAATGGAACTTTGCCATTCCCTTTCCTTGCTTAACGCTTTTGAGGCAGCTCGCTTTTCAGTTTTCGTTGTCATCCTAGATGAATGGCAGCAGGTTGAGTTTTCTGTTTTGGCCCGGTAATCGATCTTCCTGGATTGAATAGTCGATCCTGTATTAAGCGGTCACTCACAGGGAATGCCGGGCTACCGCTTAAAACAGGTTGACCACTTAATATTAGCTCCACAGAACAGAACTATTTCAAAAGTCAATAAAAATCCCCATTTCATGCCATAATTGACCACTTGATGTACATGTACTCGCTCAAAAATTTTAGTAATTCCTAGTAATTGAGAGATTTTTCTTAGTTTTATTCTAGTGGTTCCTCAGGAGGAGAACAACATAAAAGGGCCGTTGGACCCATTTGAGGGTGACCGCGACCGCTTAAAAAAGTTTAACATTGCAGTAATTAAGGGTGGAAATTTGGGAACTTTGGAAACCTCCCGCTTACTAAATGGTGACCGCTGAATACGGTGCCACTTAATACAGGTTCGACTGTATTTTCCAATTAATAAATAAGCGGAAAGCATCCTTCATTTCCCTTTTTCAGTCGTCCATCAACGATAAATCTTTCCACGCTTACTACAACTTTCCTCGTAATAGGAAAGTGTTTCTCGGTTATAACAGGTTTAACAGTAAAGGCAAAGCAAGCTTAAAAGGCAGAGAAACCAGAAATCACAAAGTGCACACATAATGTGAGTAAGTTCTATCAATCATGCGTGTAAATGTTCATATTTCGAAATATTTATTGTTGTAAATCGACGATATTTCAGAAATTAATTGTTTTCATTTTCTCAAGACGTGAGCGTTGGAAAAAGCAAACGATTAATGAAAGCGTCACGCATTCCTTTGGGAAAAAATTCTTACGCGTGCTAGTTTCACTTAAATCCTAGCAAACTATAAATCAGAAGAAAGCTGAATAACTGTAGTTTATGATAAAAATATAATTTAAGCGAGTATTTCTTTTAGGAAGTGTCAGGAGCCGGTAAGGCGTGAAACGACCAAGGGTCCTTCTATTGAATTTATCGGGTATTGGACGCCGCAGCACAAGCAAATTGGCTGCACAGTCTATTCCCAAGGCATCAATCAACAAGAGTGTGTCAGGCTTCTTCTTTATTCTGATTGTTTGTTTAGATATCGGCATCTAGAGTTGGAGTAGCTAAAAATATGTGAGGCGTGTTGCGTAAATGGACGCACGGGACAATTATTTCAGAATTAAAAATTTCCCGACACACTTTTGTTTGTCATTTTTCCTGGAATGTTTTGGCGAAATTTGACGAAAATCGGTGACATCTATATACCCTATAAATTCGCTCAAAGTGGATGTATTCCTCTCAAAATCAAGTGCAAGATTTTGGCTATCTTAAGAAGAAGGAACGGAGAATGGGAGAATGGAGAATGGGTATATACGTGGTACAACAAAGTCAACTTAAGGTAGAAGGGGTTAACGTGGAAGAATAAAGCTGACTAGGACATATCGTAAGTCTTACATGATTCTTATAGCATGAATATTGTCAGCCATTTTGTCGTCTATATGGCATTCAGCCATGGCGTATATACCGGAGAATGGAGAATGTAGGAATGGGGGAATGGGGAATCTTTAAAATAGGGAATCTTTAAAATGGGGAATCTTTAAAACGGGGAATCTTTAAAACGGGGAATCTTTAAAAGCGGAAATGGTTAATATGGACTAATATCGACTTCACAAAACGAAAAACCCTGTAGATCAGACTATTTAATCATAATTGCTAACCGGGCCGATGACTGACTTATCATTCAGTTAAAAACAAAAAAATTAAATGCCGAGTACCACCGCCATCGGTCAAAAACAATTGTTACGTCGAGCAAACTTCAACCTTGAGGCGGGATTTCTACTGTTGCGTAGTTTTACTGGTGTCAACGAACCTGAATTTTAAAAGGATTCACTGGCGTAAAATAGAAAAAAAAAAAAGAACAACTATTCCACAGACCGCTCATGCATTTGGTCGATTTCATTCCACGCTTTAAAAGATTCTCCGTTTAAAGATTCTCGCTCTTAAAGATTCCCCGTTTTAAAGATTCCCTGTTTTAAAGATTCCCCATTTTAAAGATTCCCCATTTTAAAGATTCTACATTTTAAAGATTCCCCATATCCCATTCCTCATTCTCGATCGTTCAGTGGAGCGTTGAGAAGGACGACACAGTAATGGGCAAAGTTGCCAAAGGCAAAGGAAAACTCCCGCGGCAAAAATGGAAAAAACGGAAAATGTGCTGAGAAGCAAGACAGCGAATCGACAGTCAGCTTTCAAAATTACGGTTTGAGGCGGTTGTTTATGATTTTGTTTCATGGCTGGTACTTGAATAAATGACAGGAAACCTTGTTTTTTAACTTAATGTATGACAAATTTTGGTTTGACGCCGACTTCTGTGCTAGTCGCTTTCACAAATAATTTTTTCCTTTTCCTTGACAGAATGGTTCTCTTTCTTTCTCGTTTGGGCCTGTTCTTTTTTTTCTTTTTTTTTTTCTTTTTTCACCAAGGACTTTCTTCCGCTTTTATTTTTTCTAGGAGCAAATATTTTTTCCGAAGCAAAGAACTTCTACGTGTGAATTTCGTCAAGTGGGTGATGTAAACAAAATATGTAAATAACTAAAACGAGGCTTAAGAGGAGCGGTTCCCGTGAAAATTCCCCCAGGGGATTCGCCCAGGTACGAGATATCACACCTTCCTGATTTGTTAATTTTTATTTGAAAATATGTTTTTTAAAATAACTCGGGTGCTTTTAACTTTTTCAGAAATTTTTGTTTGTGGAAACGCTAGGTAAATTGTTTGAGTTAATCTAATAAAGGACAAACGATTTTTTCTGCCTCTGAAGGTGGGAAGTAACCTTAAGTTACGAGAGGAACTGTTGAGAATTTTAACACGGAATGGTATTTTAGTTTTTTGCGATTTCTGCTGTTTTAAACTTGCTTTTCCTTTTTTACAGGAATAACAGTGATGGTAAAGCAAGCTTGAAACGGCCGAGAACGCCAGAAACCACAACGGACGCACGAGGAGTGAGTAAGTTTTATTGATCTTACGGGTAAAATGTTCATATTTCGAAATATTTATCGTTGCAAATCGACCATACCATTCCCTATAACCAAAGGTGGCCCAACCTCCAGCTGTGAGATGACCATCTTGCGAAGTAAAGAGTGCATAAGAGAAGTAAACTGGATAACTCGCTAAGGTGGGTTCTCTAGCGAGGGGTTCTTAGCGGTAAGATAACAAGCGATGCACTGTGGAATGTGAGGTATTTTTATTGAGAATTTGACTTATTTTTTTTCATTCCTAAGAGCGGTCGTAAATATTCCCGAACAAACTCTCATAATTTCGCCTTGACTCTAATTTCGAAAAATGATCAGCTCACAGCTGGAGCTTGGGCTGCCTGTGTAATAACGGTTCCCCTCATGACTTAAACAACGCGTCACACAACGCGTGACGCTTTCATAACTTACTCATTTGCTTTTTCTCGAGACGTGAGCTTGGAATATACCTGCGGTTGGCCGAACCTGGCCACGCCTCAGCCTCGTCTCTATGAGAAACATGAAGTATCGGCGCGACTAAACTACGTGAGATAAGATTGCTTTCATGGCGTCCGTCTATTCGTTGAACGGTGACTGTCTTCGTCCGATTTTGTGTTTTCTAGATGACCCTGCATCATTTTACAATTTCGCATTGACATGTAAACGATTTCTTAAAGTTACAAAAAGTACAGAGAACGCTGTACATCCAAATATTTTAAGAACGAAAGCCGAATGTTACCTCAAGCATTATTTGGTCGAGTTAGAAGTAGCTTACCCTAACCGTGTCTCATGGGCACCCCAGGACCCCCCCCCCCTCACATATTTTTATGGATGGCCTCAATTCCAGTTTCCCTGTAAGAGCTTTGCCCCTACATGTAACATGGAAAAATTAGAAACTTGACATTATATCTCACTGTTGATTATTTCTGAATCAGTTGTAACAGAAGTAAAGTAACAGAACCATGAAAAATGACTAAGTATGAGACATGAGAGAATTTTAGGGGAGATCCAAAGCAATTCCTTGGGAGAGCTACATCTTTTTAGTAAGAAGTCATCATTTTTGTAATCTTAGATACAATGTTGTTGGCAGTTTGCCTATTTCCAGTTTCAAATAAGAATAAGAAATTAAAGCTGAGTGTGCGTGGCTCTAGATCTGTGTTGGAAATGTGAAAGTGTGAAATCAGTTATGTTACATACCTGTATATATGATGTTGAAATGAGTGACAATGATATATAATCATTTATTTTATTTATTTATTTTTTTAATACCATGACCCACTGATTTTACGTTGATACTTTGCACACTCCTATCTCTTGCCAAGTGGAAGCTGAGCTGACTTCAAAGTGATTAAGAAGAACAATTTCAATTAAGTTTGCCCTCTGACTTATGCCATCAGTTATGAAAACAAACCTTAGGTGTAAGTGAGTTAGTGAACCCCAGACAAGGGATGACAAATGCTCAAAATAGTTGTGATTGCTGCAATGATGTTCTTTCAACTTGACTTTCTCTTTGAAATAGATGTAACATTACTGGCTTAATTAAAAAATAACAGAATTTTCAATGATGATTCTATTTTTACCATGCCACAGTCTGCTTTTTTTTTTCTTTTTAAATGTCTCATTCACGTGAGCATGTCCAAAGATTAGTCTACTGCTCATCATGATTTATTTAATAAAAAATTGTGGAATTCATATGTAAAGTCTCTGAAACTTCTAACCTTTACAGTGTTTATAATTTTTACATGGCATGGACCAGAGTTTTTATGTTCTCTTTAGACAGGTACTTTCTTATCCTCCTCAGATTGTATAAGTAGTAAGAGTTTTGCATCGAACCATGAGCCCAAGTTCCTCGCAGATGACACGGGAGTAATTGCTGAGTTGCCAACACGGAGACTGGAAATAGTTACTTTAGCGAGTTGCTGGGATGCACCAATGATCAGAAACTCAGTCTTGTCGTCGTCCAGTTTCAATTTATCATTCAACATCCAATTACGAATATCATCAATACAGCTTTCCATTCTAGCCAAAGCAACTGCTTGGTTAACACTAGCATTGGGGCAGAAGGACAAATAAAGTTGGCTGTCATCTGCATAACAATGAATGCCAGGCGGATATTTGTCCACGACTTGAAAAATCTTGCTCGCATACAATACAAACAATAATGGACCAAGGCATGAGCCCTGAGGGACACCACAAGTCAGTTCCAAGTGCATAGATATTATAGAAATTATAAGTGTGACGGAAACATTGTTCTCATAACACACCAAAAGACATCGGCCGATACAAAATTCTAAGGTACGTGTTAAGTATATTGAAAAAGCGAGTAAACAAAAGAAAAGAAACAATAAAAGCAAATGTACTTTTATTTGCTCTATAAAAGAGAAACGGAAAACAGCAACGGAAGCAAAGTATATTCCCCATGCTTACATTGAGCGTTTCTTTTTTTTTTTTAATGAAGGTCACTTTATAATTGTCCAATTTCAGGAAGATTTCATGAAATACTGTTGAGTATACTTCCGACACAATTTCTGTATTAATCAACACACTGATTCATCACACGCACGTAATAAAAAACACTCACCAAAGCCACTTCCGCTGGGCCAACTCTCGTCAGTTTATTTAATAGTTCCTCTCGCTTCGAAATGTCTTTCATCTCACTCTTAATAAATTCAGGTTAAAGCGTCTTTTTTTCAAAAAGATTGCAAAACGTCTAATCCTTAACTACAGGTTAAAGTGAAGGCAACTATTAAATTTTTGCAGTTTTTGCACGCAACACTTTTAAAGGCTCTCATAGGAACTTTCTTTTTTAGCAAACTACTAACTTACAATTGCCAACGGTCCAATGAAATAACCACGAAAGGCAAAGTAATTCATGCAATAAACGGATAGAATAACAGCAATTTAACAGCTTCAACGGTGGTATTGGTGTGAATTTCTTGTATTTGACACGGAAATTGAATGAAGGAAGTCTGTTTATTTTTTTAATTACCCTTGCCTTGTTTTAAGTGATACTTGACGCAAAAGACTGAATTTTGTGAGGGGATCTGTCAGTTTGGTTACGTCAAGGCTTTTCACAACACATACGTCGATGCGATTAGCGAAGAAAAATTCAATTTGTACCATCCCATCAAAAAACAATTGAGCATTGCCAACTTGCTACGGTGTCCAAATTGAACATCTGCGAGACTGCAAATCGTTCTTTCACTCGACAGCTTCGAGCTCTGAGCATTTTGCGCAAGGAAGGGATAGAGATGTCGGGGGACAATTCAAACCACTTACCTGTCGCCCACACCAATGCCTCTAACAGTTCAGACCTCGGAATATGCCACCTTCCTCCCACTTCAAAAAATCTTGCACTTTCATTGATTCTTATTGCTATCTGCATTGTAACATTTTGTGGAAACTTGTTCGTTTGCGCCACTGTTTACATCCATTGTGCTCTTCGTTCCACAACAAATTATCTCATTGTTTCTCTAGCTTTGGCCGATCTGTTGGTGTCTCTTTTGTCGATGCCATTCAGAATCCACTTTACACTACGTAATAACAACTGGTGTCTTCGTTCTAATGTTTGCGGTCTTTGGATCTGGGTGGATTTTGTTGCATGTAGCTCATCTATAGGTAGTTTGGCCGCTGTGTCCATCGACAGATTCGTCGCTGTAAAATTCCCTCTTCGCTACCGTGTTCTCCTCACAAAACAGACCAGCTTGAAGATGATATGCTTCGTGTGGATGTACTCGATGATATTCGCTTCCCTTGGTAACTACAACTGGACATTTCACGCATTCGAGACTTTCACACAATGCCATAAAAATGACCGTGTGTTCTACACCACGGTGGCGAGCTTGGCGTTCTTCTTGCCCCTTGGAATCATTATTGGAACGTATACTTATCTCACTAAAGTCGCTGTACACCAGCGCCGGCGGACTTTAACCAATACGGTCCGTCCGGAAGGTGAGAGGCCTTTTCGACGAGCCCGCATTTTGCACGAGCTGAAAGCAGCGAAAATGATGGCTTGTGTAGTTTTAATATTCATTGCTAGCTGGGCGCCTTTCTTTATCTTGATGCTCTCGGGTTTTTGGCACGACCGTCTAAACATACCTTATGCCGTCAGGGATATCTTTGTTCTTATACTACCCAACCTTAACAGTGCTATAAACCCTTTCATGTACATGGCGTTTACACGCGAATTACGAGAGCAAGTGGCAAAGTTGGTTGAGAGATTATTCTGTCGATCTTGCAAATGTCATGAGTCCAGAGTTCCGTAGGAAGATCGCGAACGTGGACTCAGCCTGTGATTTTCGGGCATCTGAAACACACGTGAGGCGCAGTATTCGAGCCAAAATCATCGCAAGCTGCACTGGAGAAATTGTTTCATTATTCATTCTATATATCACGAGAAGAAGTGAAAAAGTATATCAACGAAGGATGCAAATGTTTTCTTCCAAACCTGTGAATTCTGTACATATGAAATGTTGTATCTGATTACGATTTTGTTCTCAAAAATCTCCAGTGTTAATTGTAGAAATACAAAGCCTACTGTGCATTATAAAGCTATATAACATTTTCATGTGACGATAAAGATTTCTCAGTTTGGTTAGCCCTCAATACCCAACAGTAACAAGACGTTAAAAATAACAAGAAATGTAGATCGGTCAACAGCTATAAGGCTTAGGAGCAATTCGTAGTGTACAGTAAGCAAGAACAGATAAAAATTTAACTCAAAATACCCCGAAGTTCAAATTATATCTAAAGTAATAGTAGAGAATAATAATTATGTACATTTTCTTGTTAAAATAACTACAAGTAATGACACTTTCTAGTTTTTTTTTAATTTTACCTTTCAACATCAGATAGTCCCTTGATTTTTCACCAGACAAAAAAGGCAAATGAATCTGTGCAGTTTGTTCATGGATTCACCCACGCTTATTGTTATCATTTCAATTTGCCACTCTCTCGTTCACTGTAATCACAATAGGAAATAGTCAGATTGGTAACTAATATTAATTCACACTCACTTGTAGAAGTAAGTAATTTAATAAAGTTGGCAGATGTCATATGCGTCAGTAAAGACAAGCTACTTAAATGTATTTCTTCTCTTGTTTTCATTCTACAAAGAGAAAAATCTCTTCAAAAGGCGAGACACAGCTCAGAAGCACTATCCACAAACCTGATCATAAATTTCTTGCAAGATTACAGAATATCACACACCTCAACATGTTTCGAATGAGTTCGACATCTAGATTTTCCTTTTATTTTTTCCCGGATTAAAGGTAATTATTTGTATCCGAATGTCACGATGAAAATCTGCCGCGTGATGTTTAATAACTAACATACGGATTAAGTTTACTTTTATTAATTTCCTGCCAAGGTGACTCCACTTTACATATTACTGGCGACAACTGCCGGGAATTAGTTTGCATTCACACGGTCCCTACGAGTTCATGGCTTCGAGTAGCGCCGTTCCCCAGCAGATTCCATCGCGCGAGCCGATAAAAAACATAAAAAGTATATCCCAGTGGCACCTTAAGTATTTGAGAGGCGCGGCACGCATAGTTTGCGCGACTGACTTGCGCGTCGGACTTGCATGGAACTGCTTTTGGAACAACAGAACTTGCGTTTAAAATGACAGTATTGTATTCGAAATAAGTTACCTTTTTTTCTACAAAGGTATGTGATCTGTTGAAAATAAATACTGTTTAATTTTTTAATTTTGGTAATCTTCGAGAAAACGTATATACTAAAATCATTATTTCTCGTTTATAATAAAAATCATTACAATATAAGAGACACCTGCACATGAGCCGTCATCATTTCATCAAAACTATGTGCCCAAAAAGGACTGCTAAGAATAACATGACTATGATACAATGACTACACACAAGTTGAAAGCGACCTTCAGCACTGTACTTAACGATCGGTAACTTGCCAAAATGCAGCAGTGAAGATATACAATGCCATACTTCCTAGGGCAATCAAATCGAAGACTTCAATTGAAAAATTATTTCCAAATCAACTATACACCAATAGAATAGATTCACTCCTATATATTTTATATCAAAACAATTCATATATATCTTTTCTGACAATGAAAACTGGACAATTGGTGAAGATTAAGAAATTTATCTGAGGACGCAATATGTACTAAATGTTCAGTGGCGAATCCAGACCTTGAGCTAAGGGGGGGAAAACCGATTTTTTTTGTCGCTTTCCCTGCCGGCTTTTCTTCCTTCTACGATTTTTTTTTTAACCAAAATAAAGATGGGGGCTGACCCCCCAGGCCCTCCTCTAGATCCGCCATCGCTGTTTTGCAGTCAACAAGGAGAAGAGGTCTTCAGATCTTGGGGCGTAATTCAAACCATACAAAAGTGAAGCATCAAACCAAGCCCTCAGCTGCGGCCAAGTTGAAAAGAAAGTTCTCCACAACTGGTGTTAGTTTTCGCTGTTTTAATGCCTCCAAGGTGATCCTGGCCTTGCCACCCTCCTCTAATTCAACAGCCAGCTTTTTCAGATTGTTTATGAGATCCTTCGTCTTGACGGACAATTCCTGAAAGGTTATTGAAGAACATTTTTAATTACACATCTCAGTCTCTTAAAAAAACGACAAAAAACCTTATGTCGCGCTAATGTAAGTGATTAGATGTGCGGAACGAAGATTTTAGCTTGTATTCAGCCTCTCGCAAGAGCGAAGGGCGAGACAACCCATTCGCTCCTCGTTTTTTACAACCACTCAAACAATCAAATAGAAAATAGGTCAAAAGAGGGGGCTTTGATCAAACAGTTCATTAATGAGGATAATGACAGCTCTTTCTTTTGCTTTTGTGTTCGTTAGACGTTACGTTAGTTCGTATTTTCATCCATTCGTTCTTTCTTTCGGTCGCTCGTAACTTTGTTCGAGCATCAGTTCCTTCCTTGGTTTCTTCGCTTGTTCGTTATCAAACGTTCGCCAAAAAGTTTTGCGTAGTCACAACTACTAATTGTAAACTTAAATTAGCACCTGATCTTTCTTACACAGGTCTCGTGCAGGCTTGTACAGGTCTGAAAGAGTCTTTGTGTTATTACCTTGACGAGCCCTTGATCACTGTACTCCTCGTTTTTGGCAGCATCTACCATAAACATTGCTATGTCCTTGTGAATTTTTCCCATCTGAAAAGTATCTAGACAAGTAATGAGATCTTTCAGAAATACACATAAAGAGAAAATGACGTAACACGTGTCATATCTGATTTTATATTATACGCTAAATTATACAAGCATTTTGATTGGTTCTTGCTTATGATCTATTGGAGGACAGACACGTACATGACGTCACCATTGACAGCATTTTGTTTTTCATCATATAAAACAAAAAGATTCCATGTTGCCGTGGGTCTGTACAGTAGGAATCACACAAGACATCAAAATTTGGCTGCATCTCGTTTTTGTTCAAACCTCATTTTGACGTTATTTGTGATCTATTACTGTACAGTCCTGTACAGACACACAGTAACATGGAATCTATTTGTTAAGTCAGTAATTAACACTACATAGACAGACCATGATCAGTCAGAGCAAACCCATTAGTTAAAATGATTGTGACCTCACCTCCCCCCCTCCCCTCAAACTAACCACTCTTTTTTTCAATGTTAGCACTAATTGCATGCTTTTCTGTTCTTAACAATGATTAACGTGTACCCTGTAAATTCACGAAAGCACAGAGTGAAGATCCTTCAATTTTTAAAATAATAACTGAGAAGTTGGTTTTGTCCACTGACATACCTCGTGCTTCAGGAGCAATGGATATCTCTCCAGCAGCAACTGTAAGATAAAAAGAAACAAAACAAGCTGAGCTGGGGAAAAATGTTTGCAATTCTTTTTTACAATCATTTTAGCATCAGCATAGTTGATCTTCTCTCAATAGTCCTACTTGTGACTGTACTGTCTTTGTAAGAGGATAATATATATCCATAATTGCAAAACGTACCATTAACAAACAAGTCATACAAGTCAGTTTTGCTTTCAACAGATGCATCAGTGAAGCCAGCCACATAAGTTATGTTTGTGGTTAGTTTCTCAAGTTCCTCATCTTCAAGATGAACGTAAGGATGGAGTATGCTCCAGTTCTGACGGTGCCACACTAATAAAGGTAACGCCCTTAAAAAAAGACAACAAATCCATCATTCATTTAACAATTACATGTACCAAGGTAGGAAGGGTAAAGTTTCAAAGAAATAATTTTTCAACTCCAAGTGTTTCTTGAGAGCTATGATAAGAAAAACATCCCTCACCAGGCACAATCTTTTGTTCTTGTTTCAACAAATATAGCTGGATAAATTGATATGTTTTTGTAGTCAGTCAGGTCCACATGATTGAAAAGTTGAGCATGGTCAGGTTCCAAAAAACTTAACAAAAACTTACAACAGAGAAAGAAATTGGGTTTCTTAACCAGTCGACCTTAGCTTATTGCAATATGTCTCACCATAAGAAATAGTATGAATTTTGAGAGTCAGTGGGGGAGGGGAGGGGGAAAACCATGCCAATGTCATCTCTGAAATGAACTTTTAGCATTCTGATACTGCTCTTGGCAACAAATGACTCGTTAACCCTCCATTAGTAAAATGACGACACGACACCATGGGAGTAATCTGCTCAGGAGATAACACTGCTTTAAAACAATATTTAGTAAACTAAACCATTCTTACTCACCTACAAATATCTAAAATAGTTTCAAGTTTGGGACTGTATACCACAACTTTCTTCTTTAGCAGTAGGGCTGTGTATATTAGGATTGTCTCCACCCCAAATATGTTAATAACATCTGTTAGAATAAAGAAAGGAGCAAAATTTATGAGGATAATTGTTGTTAGGACATTGAAATGTACAGCTTTTAAGGCACCCTAATGTTTAGAAAAATGTTCGTTCTTCTCATGAACAACTGTTACACCAAATAAGTAATTGCATGCTGTTAATTAATCAAATATTTAAACATTTTTATTCCAACTGTTCTACTGAGTAATGCTATTCGAGGTTAAGCTTATTCTATGTCCAGAGAGTGCTCCTCTATCAAGCTGCAATGTTTGCCATGTAACATTTTCTTAACATTTCCAAGCTCTAACTTGTTCACGGCTTAGGAGTGTATCCCTTATGTTAGTTCAAAAGCAGATCATGGTAACCTCAAGAAAGTGTCTTTGAAAAAACACATGCATGAATTTTTCAGAAAAAAAAGCAAGCACCAAGTTTTACTACAAATCATGAAGTGTATTCACCTGAGATGGGAGAGGCAACATACGACAAGCGAGGATCAAAGTCTTTGACTATTAACAAACCATCGTCATCATTAGGACAAGAGCCCTTTGTAATAACAGACAGGTATGGCTCCAGCATTGCACTAGCATCACCAGTTTTTATGAACTTGTTGCACATGATCTTGCACAGACTCTTGTATTTCTCAGGACAAAAGTCCTGCAGAAAAGGAAATAAAATCAACTAAATAAGTAGAACACATTATTTATGCATTCTTCCAGAATGATGTACCAGGTGTATATGTACTTTAAAATGAATTTCAGGCCATTATGATTTCAAATTAGTTTGATTTGTATATTTTCTTGGCTCATATACATAACAATGCACATCCTTAAACAATAAAAGATACAAATCATTTTAGCCATATTAAAGGCATACCAAATGTGTGTTAACATCCTCACCTTTGCTATCAGTGTCAGTGCCACATGGGTAACCTTGATAACCAAAAAGCAATTGAAAATAATAAACATATTGTTCATTATTTTTACTTCATAGACTTGTGTTATAAAAACATAAAACTCGTTTAATAATTACATACTTCAAATATTTCACTTCAAGCACTCATTATATTTCTACGTATCACTCTGTTATAAGCAATTGCAAAGAAAAAAGTCAAGTTTAGCCTTAATTGTATCAGTTCCAAATTCATTCTTAGTTGTTTATTGAAAACCAGTTATAGTCAATCACAAGTACTGTATATGAAATAAGGTGAAAATGCACACATTCAAAAGGAGATTTTTTGCACCCTCCCCTTCAGACACTGAGGACATATTCCGATAAATGCATAATAAGTAATTCCTAACCCACCTTGCTTAGAGCATCGGAGTTCTTAACTTCTGACGTGTAAATATAGAACCACTGCTTATTGAACTGGCCAAAACAAAAAGGTATAACTTCCTCTTTGTCGGTTTTAAGACAGCATTTCCTCAAAAGGACCTGCCGGAACGTTTCGGTTATAGTGGGGTAAGACCATGTCCAAAGGACGTCAGAATCAACATCTTTCTCTGCATTTTTAACCCAGAAAAGAAATCATAAATTTTTCTTTTTAAAAAAAATGTATGATGACGAATTTTTGAGCTAACAAAGAGAACATTTACCGATTAAACATGCAGCCAATAAGTCTCCAAGCCCCGCCATCTTGTTCAGCACTCTATGGAAAGAGCGCCCGGATAGTGGGTCAGCGGTAGAACAACATGGCGGTTATGGCGGCCTCCCAGTAACAAAGCTTGGTCCGATCGGTTTGATTTAATTGTTTTGGCTCATTTTCCATTAGCAGATGGAAAAAGGTAGAAAGAGGTCTCGTGATTATTATGAAAGAGAAAAGTCGCCCACCGGGAAAAGGAAAAGCTGCACTGTTTGGGAAGATCTACGTTCCACTCTAGACGAACTCTTCTTCCGCGACTGTGATTTGATTAAACGGTTTGTCTATGTTCATTCACTGTAAGATGAAGTTAATACAATCATTTCCCAGGATACGTCAATTTATGCTGAATAGCCTATCTTGTGTTTATCAGTGGAACTCAAGATTATAAGGACTTCTGGTTATTTCTGGAACGGTATGAAGCCTTTCACAGTAAGAGACAAAAAGAAAAGCAAACAAAAGGTGAGATATGTGAATTGCTTCGAGGTTAACTCTTTTACTCTCTCAATGGTTTTATTTGTTTATCTATTTGTATTTGTCAATTAGAGAAGAGCAATTTATGGAAACTACTGATTTAACCACCATTATTATTATTATTATTACTATTTGCAAAAAATGTTGTTCACCCTGTAATTGGGAGATTTACCATCATTATGAGCTAAGCTTAGTGTGAGTGATCATGTACTTTCATTAGCTCTTCATCACTTTTAATACTGTTTTCATTTATATTTTTTTCAAAACAGCAAAGGACACTAAAGATTGGAGGTCCCCTAAACTAGGACTCCCTTTATCATATGACAGAAGGTATAAGATAAATGTTGCTCTGTTGTCAAAAGATATTTCTGATGTAACTGGATACAGCACCACTGGAACTAAGAAAGGTAAATTTACCGACAGACTTTGAATAATCATTAATGCAAATACTAGTCACCTGATAAACTTTAAATTAGACCAGTTTGATTTTTAGGTAATTTTTTTCTGTTAATGAAGAAAAGACAAAACATACAGTGAAATGTGTTTGAATAGACTGAAAGAAAATAAAACACATTTTTTCTTACATTTTTTGTTATGTTTTCACAGTTTACTCCTCTTTGGACAAGAAAAGCAAGCCACTGGGTAATGAGCTATCAAGAGAAGAGTTTTTGGAATTTAAATCCATCATATTGTTTTATATTGATTTTTGTCAGAAGCAAAAGGTAATGGATTGTTATAATAATAATACATATAATAATAGTTTGAGCATAAACATTCTTTAGCATTCTTAAAACATGTTTAACGTGATTCTTCAGTATTACAATGTGTATCCTCTACTCTGTGTACAATCATATAATCAGGCCCATAGGTGCATATGCTTTGTAAAGAGGAAAAATTTAAAAAGAATTATCAGAGGCAAAAATAGATATAGCTTAAAAATGTGTACAAAGCCCATAGCTCAAGGATGTAAATTATGACCTTGAAAACAACTGTTTTGAGGTCATGTCATTTAAGAATTGCCTGATTTTTGATAAAGTACATATTAAATTGTTCCTTATGCTTGAAACTTTCTACCCATCAAGTATCAGCTACAAATGTACCATGAACTGATGAAATAATGTGCACAATCAGTAACAACGCAGGCAAACATTGGGGTAAGGTTAGCGCACCATATCTCCTGAGCAAGCATGTTGACCTACCTTTTTTGTGTGGTTCTCAAAACAGAGAATGGTAGGGAACATTCAAAGGAAAGTTTTAGAAGGCCACCTCTAATACAAAACCACACACATAACTATTGTAATAAATAAGTGACATGTTTCTTTTTTTTTTTCACTGCCTTTTGTAGTTTTCCAAATTAGTGAAGTTAAAGAAGGACCAGGCAAACCTTCCCATAAGCAATTTTAAAGAGCAGATTATTGATGCATTGGGAAGCAACCAGGTGGTTATTATTGCTGGTGATACAGGGTGTGGAAAGTCAACACAGGTAATACAATGAGTGTACTGTACAATCATGTGATTGGAAATAACAATCTTTGCATACTATTATATCATATTCTATGGCTGGGAAGTTGGTGTGATAATGAATTAATGCATTGTAGTGTACAATCATATGGATGCATGTATACAGAAGTGCATTGGAAGGAAATTTCCAATCAGAATCACAAAATCTCTGTCTAGCCCTAAATTACAAACAATACCCACCTCTGTTGATTCTGCATGTAATAAGAATGTTTCATTATGCACTGTAGTTGATAGGACAGTAAGATTATTTGGACCTTTGAACTACTGGCTTAAGAGTTAATAAGTTAGATATATGTATGGGGTTTCCATTGAGAAATGTAGTAGCATGAGAATAGTGTAAAGTAATCATAGAAGATTCTCACCAGTATAAATAAAAAACAGCTTAGGCCATTTAAATTTAATGGAAGAACTGTGTGCTGTTACCAGAGAATTCTCCTTCTTCCAATGCACACAGCATTATAATGTGAAACATATTTTAATGAAAAACATGACAATCATTTCATTGTTTGGTTTTCCTTTTTTTTAAAGGTTCCTCAGTATCTTTTGCATGCTGGCTACACACAAATTGCATGCACTCAACCTCGACGGATTGCTTGCATTTCATTGGCCAAAAGAGTAGGGTACGAAACTCTGAATGAATATGGATCCCAAGTGGCTTATCAGGTACAATTTATGGTTCCTTTTGATTCTTGAGAAATAAAATAATCATCAAAATCATCACTCTATCACACTAGCCACAATTATGTCAAATTCAGAACCTCTGCATTTTTAAAGATTTTTCTAAACCTACTCGTGGGAAACAAACTCACTGTTGAGTACTGGTGCTCAGCCAGCCAGCATCAAGTAATCATTCTTTGTTGACTTCCAAAAGTTCTCTCATGATTAAGAAAAAAATGTCCTCTGTCACAGCTGTACACATACTGTATAATATATAAACAATTATAAGTATCTCTCAGTTGGTACTCTTGCTATGACTGGTCAGTTTAGCCAGCTATATTTTATTGTACATCGTGCTAAATTCAATTGTTTGAATTGAATTTTCCCCTCTATTTGAAGCCAGAGGTGTAATAAATATCTTTACTTACTGACCTTATTTCTTTGTCAGTACTGTAAGTTATGGAATCTCACTCTTTCCCTTTGGGTTTATAACCCATACACTCCTATCTTGGGCCATAAATCCATGCAGAAAAAAAAGATAGGTCCATAACATGCAGTTATTGTAAATATCTCAAAATCAGTTGGAAAGAGGTATCTATACACTAAACTTAGTTGCTAAGTATTATTAATAGTACATGCATCAGCAGTTTATTGCATACATATCCAATTCATCTGTTTACTTGTATTCTTTACTTAATAAGAAACCTCACCCAAGTTAAATGAATTGTTCAAAATATATGTTAAATGAATCAACTTTTGAAATGGATATTACTGCAGATTCGTTTTGAAAGCAGTAAGACCCTGGGCACCAGAATTTTGTTCCTGACTGAAGGTTTGTGAACAATTTTCTCTGTCTTTTTTGATCACTCATTCAATGGTGTATCTTAAATCATAGCTACATTCAAGTTCACAAAATGTAGATTTCTTTATGTAGATTCAGATTTAATTATAAGTTGTAAAACCTTGTGAATCTGATTTGGTATTTTTTTTTTTAAATTTTATGATCAGTGGATTTAAAACTTTTTGTTTTGCAATTCAGATAGATAACAATCTAACCTGCATTAAGGGGTGCCACGTTAAGTGGTCACCCTCTATTAAGCAATCAGTTGTCAAAGTCCCAGATTTCTTTCCTCTTAACTCACAGTAATTTTCACCTATTTTTAGTGGTCACCTGAACTATTTTGTGGTTGTGATTGTCCCTTGCTAAGTCCCAACAGCCTGTTTGTATTTTTTCTTCACCCTTATTGAACAGTTACTTAAGTGGATCCACTCAAATTAAACTAAGAATATTCTTTCTAGTAAAATTGATTCCATTTTTATTTCCCAAAGTCAATGTTAGTAGTATTTTTGGGCAATTTTTTGTACATTAAGTGTTCAATTATGGCATAGAAATAGCAGTTTTTATGTTACCCCTCTTCTAAAGAAACTGTATAAAGTGGTCTCCTTGCTATTCCCCAGAGTGACTGCTTAATATAGGTTTGACTGTAATTGGCTCTTTTCTTGTTGGTAAACAATGAAAACATTGAACATGCTCATGGACAGAAAACTTGAAATGGACTCAGGAAGGTGAACTCTTGCATAGTAATACAAAGTTGTATTTGTATTGCTGTAGTGAAAATTTGGAATTCCTGAAAAAAGGAAAAAATGACAAGTGACATGGTATCTTTGACTATGAGGAAATGAACTGGTAACAAAGACTAAATATGCTTTGCATCCGTTGTGCTTGAAAATTATGATCCATTTCCTCTGTGCTTTCACCTTTTTTATCTTGCCATTACTCTTGACGTGGTAAAGTGCTTTGTTTGGAGGGTATTGTCACAAATGCAGTCATTGTTGAAATTATATTCATTTTGATGTACACGTGTAGGCTTGTTGTTGCGTCAATTATCTACCGACCCAACCCTCAGTCAGTACAATGTTATCGTGGTGGATGAGGTACATGAGAGACATATTCACGGAGACTTTTTACTTGGTGTTTTACGTGGTTTGCTGCAGGCCCGTGCTGATCTTAAGCTGGTTCTAATGTCTGCCACCATAAATATCAGGTAAGAGGGAGAGAGGGGTGGATGCGGCAATTTTTAGACGAAATATGTGACTGAAAGGAACTAAATTTTTTTTACTTCTCTTGTTCTTTAGCCTGTTTGCCGGCTATTTTACAGGAGCGCCAGTTATTCAGGTTTGTGGCACTTGTTTGATAGATGGACCTTTTATTAACACTGTAAAAGTTTCAGTTTGTCTGTCATTTTTCTGCTCTGCTTCCTGTCCAGCATTATTGGGTCTTACCAGCTCATATTTTAGGCGTTTTTACCCTATTATGGCAAAATGAAGTATTGGTGGAAAATTGAATTTTTGTGAACTTTCCTTTTTACAGATTCCAGGTCGTTTGTATCCCATTGAAGTTCGGTACCAGCCTCCAAAAGTCGAGGTTAGTGACATGTGGGGAAGCTTATTTTTCTTAAGCTTCCTAATCTCCTTTCTGTCCCATTACAAAGTAGGAAAAAAAAACATTCCACCTGTAATTTGGGATGGCATGAGAGAGGCAAAATGAATTGTGCAGTAATCAGTTTTGTCATCTGACTGACCTTGGCACTAAAGGTTTTCGTCTCCCTATATGGTGAAATACCGTGTTTTGTGGCTTACGACGGTCAGACAACGACCAACTCAATATACTGCGAATAAAAACGTACCCTGTGGCACTCGTAGTATTATACCAGGGAAAATGATCTTACAGGCGAGCCTAGGGACCAAAACGGCTGGAGTTTATTGCGCTTTTCTTTGCACTGAGCGACTGGAAGTATTAATATTCCCTCTGGATAGAAGGCTTCTCTAGCGCTTGTTGCCTTCAGCTGTTCATAAGGTTTGCCTCACAGCTTCAGCTCCTCCCTTTGATAATTGCGGTTAGCTCGAGTGCACTAGTCCTGCTTCTGGTGAGTTCTGGAGCATAAGAACCAGACTCCATTCAGCCAAATCATCGAGGCATTTTTTAATCGGTGTTTGTTATTAAAAGCAGCTGTCTTTCTCAACAGTTTTCAAGCAGCTCAAAACGATGGGAGAGACTGGACCCCGCTCCTTACGTCAGAATCATGCAGCTTATTGATCATAAGGTTGATTAAAATGTTTTTATTGTTTCATCGTAAGCTCGATGTTGATTGAATTCAACAGATAAATATTTGACAAAGGGACACCATGCATCAGTTTTGTTGTTGTTATTTTCTTTTCCAGCTTTATTTTTATCTGTTAACCGAAACAAACCCGAGAACAAGACCTAGAAATAACCATGGTGACTTGAAAGTGTCTGTGATTTTTTTCGAATATCGTACATTTAGCCAATTTTAAACCTTATCGTGCTTTCCTAGTAGAATTTGAAAACAACCAGAATGCTCACGGAGAGTAAATTAGATTCAAAACGCAAAATTATAATTCACCCTAGGAAATCACAAACACAGAGTGCTTTGCGTTAAAAAAGGTTTTCACTAGATAAAATAGAAATGACAAGACAGCAAGAAAACAAAACGATAAAGAAGCATCTAATTAAAAAAAAAAAAAGTTTCCTTCGAGCCGGATTTGAACCAGCGACCTAAGGATATCATCTTTACCTCTACAGTCCTCCGCTCTACCAACTGAGCTATCGAAGGAAGGTCGATAGAGTTGTTGGTCATTCCGCTGCTGTTTTTGCCCTTGTGGCTACCGCAACTTATTGCAGCTTAGCCCAGAGCCTACTCATGGTCCCGACACTGACGCGCAAGTGTTGTTTTCTTGCTCACATTTTCACAGATTACACTTCGAGAGCTGTGAAAATTACCTTCAAGAAGGCTGATAGTCCATCAGATCAGTACCCGAACCCCGTTGCGTTTGTTAGCCGCTCACCAGTTTGGTTATCTCTAACCTGATGTATTTCTGTTCATACAAATAGTACCCGTCAACAGAGCGAGGAGATGTTCTGATGTTTCTCAGTGGCATGGCCGAAATTACAACGGTTGTTGCTGCTGCTAAGGAGTATGCGCAACAGTCTCGCCGGTGGATAATACTCCCGCTTCACAGCTCACTGTCTGTAGAGGAACAAGATAAGGTGGATATGGAAAAGAAGTTGTTATGTTTTATTTTATTTTCAGGTCTTAAATTGCACTAAGACCTTCAATTATCGATTAGTTTAACTACTTAAACAATTGATCGTAATACAAACTTTTTCTTCTACCATTGAATTGACAGTACAATCTTTCGGACTTTGTCAATGGTACCAGTACATTGTTGGCCATAAAATGTTGTTGAGATATATATTGTTTTAATCAAAGTCGTTCTTTTAAAGATAAAACACAACCTGTGTAGTTTGGTTTTCTTGCTCCCGCTTTATAAAAATGCGGCACAGCCATTATAAATGGACATCGACAGGGCCGCGACAGCTAGAGAAAGTCCAGCAAACTGCCTCCTACTTCCTTAGCGGTTTATTCCCATAAGAGTCACACCCCATAACCCCACCCACTCCTCCCGATATACGTAGACTAGCTAAAATGTCCATTTCAGTATTCTTTGTACATAAAGTGATAACGGATGTCTGTGGGCGAAGCTATAAACTGGTGGTCAGTATAGTAGAGTCGCATGAACAGGCCTTGATTCGAGGGATAGGGATAGAAATAAATACTGAATGGCAAGAGACTGGGGGACACAAAGAATGTTGAAGAACGTTTTTTGGTCGGTAGGTTTTTGATGTGCCTCCTGAAGGTGTTCGCAAATGTGTTGTGTCCACAAACATCGCTGAGACTTCCATCACAATCGATGGCATTAGGTTCATTGTGGACTCGGGAAAGGTAACTTTACTTTTGTTATTTTTTATTTTCATAAGGAACATTAGTGGGCCGTTATTCTGCAGATCTCGACATGCTCTTAACTCCGATTCTCCTTTAAGGACGTGTAACTGTGAGATGCGCTTTTTACTACTTTACAACCACCTGATAAAGTAACAATTAAAATAACAGATACCTATTTCTTGCCTTTCGGTATACACTTTCGTCGTATTGAGCTTCCCTCGGTCACTGGTCCTGTGGTTTTATTTAACTAAGGAGGTTCTCGAAAGGAATTCCGTAGATTTGACGCCCCCTGATGAAGTAACTGTTTCTGAATGCAGAATATACGAAAAACTATGGTTTTAGGCTGAATTGACCTCGTCTGTTTCTTGTTTTGGACTCAGTTAGATTGAGAATAATTTTTTAACGAAAACATTCGGTTCTGATTTATTCAAAGGTAAAGGAGATGAGCTATGATACTGAAGCTAAAATGCAGCGACTGCGTGAGTTCTGGATAAGTCAAGCGAGTGCAGAGCAGCGCAAAGGAAGGGCTGGTAAGTCGCTGTCACAGCGTCTGAAACATATATACATTCGAAGTTTCATTCACATTTCATAATACGTGGGCGCACGTAGATGTGGAATTTCTCCTCGAGTATTTAACTGGATAGCTCACGAGTAAGCGCAGCGAACGAGTGAGATATCGAGTTGAACATAAGAAGAGGAATTTATTATCTACAAGCAACCATGTATTATTTTGTTTATCATATAAACACAATAGCCCTTTTATTTAGAAGTAGAGTCGACTTTACTAATGAATGAAACTATAAGGATCGACAATCCCCGAATGAAAATCGTAAAGTGCGTTGGTGCACTCAAGATGAAAACATGCGTTGAATCACTACAAAAACAAACAGTGGGCCTAATTTTCAATATAAAAAATTATCAGTTTTTGAATTGGCCCTTACCGACAGAATAAATCTTTCAGGTACGAGGCCAAAATCGGCCTGTAGCAAATATTCCAGTAGTCAATTTTCGTTCTCAGCCACGAGAAATGCCATTACAAAAGCCACTGTATACGTAACTTACGCTTTTCTTCGCCTTCTAGGAAAGTTTGAATGTCACTGTAAGCGATACGGAATTTTGAGTGTTTAAGCAGCCATAGTCCGAAAAAATTTCCGACAAACGACCTTGGATTGAGAACGGTGAAGGCTTCGCCGTTCATAATCAACCTCACCGAGTGGCGCGAAAGGCGAGTGACGTGTCAGCAGCTGATTGGCGATGTAAAACACGTGAAAAAATATCGTATTTTTTCACGTGCGTTGTTACGTCTTTTCTCAGGGCTGGAAATCCTTGTATAACACCGTTGTAAATATCATTATATGAATTGGCGAACGTAGAGAATTTCTAAAGTTGACCTCTCAAGCGTCAGACCTTCGTCAGAGCGAGGGGCTAACGCCTGCTTTGTCTCATGTTAGTCAGCTTCATCTGTGGTTACTCTTGGTTGCATCATTTTAGGTCGTACGGGTCCTGGTGTGTGTTTTCGTTTATATTCTGAGAGTGATTATCAAGCCTTTTCGCAATACACCACTCCTGAGATTCAGTTGGTACCTTTAGACTCCATCATTCTGCAGATGGTCTCTCTTGGAATAAATCGCATCCGCGAGTTCCCCTTCATAGAACCACCACCAGCATCCAACGTTGAAAACTCAATTTACACTCTTAAGCAACAAGGTGCTCTGACAGATGATGAAGCCTTGACACTTATTGGACAAATGTTGGCTCAGTTGCCTGTTGATGTCGTCATTGGAAAGATGCTTCTAATTGGCTCGGTGTTCCACGTGATTGAACCCGTTATGATCATAGCTGCAGCTCTCAGTGTTCAATCTCCTTTCACACAAAAGATGGGTTATGACTCTGTAGTGGCGTCACTAAGGCAGCCTCTAGAGTCTGACCATGGCGACCTGTTTACGCTGCTGAATGCCTACGATGAGTGGCTACAGGTTAGTTGACGATCACTATATATCTGCTGCTAAATAGCTATGACAGGTAATGAAATATAGTAAATAGGGCACAGATTACAAGTTTCGAACGAACCTGCCGTAACTCTTAGAAATTATCCCCGGGTTTGGAAACTTAGACTGATGCCTATTACCTGACCGCGAAGCCTCTTAGACTCCTTTTGGATTATCCTGATTGAACCCAATCAACTAATTAACATGACAGCGCTAAAGAGCTTCTTGTAATGCGCATGCTTCGGAAAAGAATCATCGTGGAGTAAGAATAGACTGTAAACGTTTACGTCAGTAACGAATTGGTTGTCCACCTACATTTTGTTTGAATACACTAATTGAAATGAACTTTTGAAATGTGAATATGTCGGTCAGTGAATAAGAAAGAGTTTTCTCCCTCATTTGGTTTTCTAGGTGAAGAGTCATGGAAGCTCTTCTCGGAAGTGGTGCAAGCGCAGAGGTCTGGAAGAACAGCGTTTTTATGAAATGTCCAAACTAAAACGTCAATTCGAATCGCTCCTGCGGGATCATCACTTGATGGATCTCGAGGAACGTGATGAAGATGCGGAAGACCAGGATCGGGAGGAAGATAAAAGGCGGGAATTGAAGAAACTGAAACGAATACATCGCAAAGAAACACGGAAAACAAAAATGCTAAAACTGGACGAGGACCAGGAAAGCGGAGACGAAAGAGATGAGGAGACTGGAACTGACATCCGCGATCTAGAATTTAAGCTTACACACGACCTGGACAAGCTTGAGGCAGGAAGTTCAACGAGGCGCAGCTTCACATTGCGAGACATAAATTTGCTGAAGATTATTCTCTGCAGTGGACTGTACCCTAACCTGGCTTTGCCAGATGAGAACAACACGAACAAAAGGGACTCGGAGCAGTTGTTTCATAGCAAGGCAAAGCAATTCCTTCAGGTTCTTCCTACCAGTGTGTTTGCCAGTCGACCTCAACTACTACAACTCACTGAGTCCCCAGTTAATTATCAGTTGCTCACGTATGTCTCTCTTTTGGAGACCAGCAAACCGTATTTAGTACAAGCCATGCGAGTCCCAGCGTTACAAACTCTTATGTTGTTTGCACAAAGCTTGGACACTAACGCAGATTTGACACGCTTTGTTGTAGACGGTTGGCTTGAAATCTCCTTTCTAGATAACAACACCGGGCAGGAGGTGATGTTCTCTGTCCAACGGCTACGCTCCACTTGGGTTCGCCTGTTGAAGCTAAGATTTGATGAGATTAAAGACAAGCAGGATCGTAGTGCTACACGACGAAACAGAGAACTGGACTTGGAAAGTCATCTGGCCAAAAAGTTGTCTGAATTCTTGGACAGTAATGTCACTTACTCACTCCGACGACTTCTGCCGTCTGAAAGCCGATACTTGTATCTTGGTCCTCTCGGTCAAAGTCAGAATGATGACAGGTTGGAGGATGCCTCTGGTTTGCCTTTCACGGGAAGCCTGGAACCGCACCCAACCAAGGGGGGCTTCCGTGTGAGTGATTATCTGACCTACAGCTGCCTACAAGACACTGTCATGGCCGAGGCTGCCTCTGCCGCCGCTCAATACATTGCTAAGCATTGGCGGTGCGAGAAATGCGGCCAGAAAATGTTGGTGACTGTTTTGGAAAGGTTGAGACATGAAGAAGAATGCCAGAATGAACAGGGCCATGACTCAAACGACCCAGTGGTTGAGTCTCATAAAGAAAAAGTAGCCGTTAATCCATCAATCGAGAGGTTAAGAAAGTCATATTATTGCAACACATGTCAATCACAATTCTCATTTACAAGTACTGAAATTTTAAAGCATAAGAAGTCCCATTTGTCTTCTACATAGGTAGAAGTAATTAAATTAAGTATTTCTTCTTTCTAGACCGTTTTCATCGGTACAATTCTGTATGCGTGGTACCCTCAGAGTCATTGTTGTCACATTTTTTCCCTTTCAGTAGTGTGTTGAGGCTGATAATAAATAAATACCAACTTCTGTGGAGGGGGATCATTTGGAAATCATTTCAGATTTAATAAATAGATCACGCATGACCAGTTGACCTCATCGCCTAAAGAAGACTAGCAGTATGCAGTCGAAATGTCGCGGTCTACATCACACGTGACTACATCGCGAGACAAACGGAAAACCTAGCTTTTATTGTTATTCACCACGATGAATAACCACAGCCTTTATTACGTTTGAGATTTGTTTTCTTATTCTAAATTCACAAAGTTAATGCATCCGTTAAGCTTACTGCGAGGAAAAATTTTGTACTGTAGAGAACAAAAAAGCCGAGAAAGAATGCCAAAAATATGGAAATTCATGACTAAAATTTTCCTCCAAGCCCAAGACTTGTTTATTCAAGAAAACAAGAGGGATAGCTAGAGCCATCAAGTTTGAGGAGAAAAATACAATAACAGATCTTATAAAGGGCTATTTGTCACTTCCAAATATAAAATTGACGGCGGAGACTAAGCTCGCGTAGCGCCGTTGGTTGCCACCGTAATTAAGAAAAAATGTTTACTCATTTAGGCGAGAAAGTGTGGTGCGAACGTAATGAAATTACGTACGTACGCAGGTACTTTCATGATAGTATTGAACCACGGAACTACTTGTGCATGCAGGTTGAGTAAAATATAAGATACTTAATGAAGAGTCTGTGGTATTTATGCAGGAGTTGGTAGTATCGGAACTCAAACGAGTGAGCGTAGCGAGGGAATGAGTTTTCTGATAAAAAGCGACGAGTACGTAACTAGCATACGGACAGACTTTTCATGGTGTATATGTTTATCATATACTTACGTAGATTCGCTTCTTGGTCAATGATAATTGTTAGTCAAAATTTATAAAATCGATCATGAAGTAAGGCAAGGCACCTTTGACAGCGAGCGTAAAACCAAATACTTGAAACGAGGCATCTAAAGCGTGAGGGTTCATCATTTTCTCTGTCTTGACGTCGAACAAAGCGAAGGAACTCCGCAAATATATGGTTAATTCCTCGAACGCTACGGGAGTGTACTTTTCGTTCGTCGTTCTTTTTGTCTCTCAAAAAAATCTTTTAAAAGTTTTCAATCTTACTTTGTTCTCTCTTTTGTGTTTTTTTTCCTCCATGCTTTCCAGATAACCCTCCACAAAAGTCTAATGAGAAACAAATCTTTTCTCGCTCGTCCTTTGTAAATAATTTGACTTAACAAACAGCTCTGAGAGTGGATTTTTAATTATAATTTTCCGAACGATTTGAAAAGCGAAACTCTGCCAGTGACTTCTGATTGGACATATCGTTTTCATCTCACCTGTAAGATGTGATACAAGCTCTTGGCTTGTGAATGGAAATTTATTTCGCGCCTTTTCAGTGGAAAATCTCAGTAGGTAAAGTGCATTATGAAGGAATGCGTTGACCATTCCTTCCGGAACAAGATCATTTGGGAGCTATAGAACAAGAGCGAATGTGCTAAAGATTGAGTGTTGATATTTCTGTAAATTATGGTAAATATAATTGATTACTCGAAATAATTTGGGATTGCTGTTTGTTAAAACTTGGGTGTACTGACGAGTTTACTTCAATTCAAATAACCATGTTTTGAAACTCGAAACGCAGTTGATTTACACTTTAAGCGGGTAAATTTATTGCAACGGGAGCGAAAGGAAATGTGATGTTTAAGTCTATTAAGTCATAATTGTAAAATTGAAATATTCTCGCTAGAAATGAAGCCTTTTTAGTGTTCTGAAGAATGTTACTTCTGTTTCATGTCAACTCAAATTTCTGATGAAATGTTTAACGCACTTATCGGGGCATAAAAATCAGAGTATGACTGAAACAAAAAACTAATTTGTGTATTTGAAGGAAGTCTTGCAAATTTTTGAGAGAGTTTCGGCCAGTGAAGTAATATTTTAACTGTTGATGTCTTGCAGCTATGGTTTTTAGATAAATTGAGAGAACAGTCCTTCTCACTGCAAGTTGAGTTTGTGTACTCATCTTCCTTAGCACGGACTAAGTTCGTTACTTCATTTATCAAATTTATATAGGGCAGAGTTACAGTAGAACACTAAGAGGAAGTAAGACGTTCACGTTTAGTCTGCTCTCGTTTAATCCATGAGAGTACAAGTTTTTTAATTGAAGCGTACGATCCTGAATTGTTGCAATAGAAATAAACTAAAGACTCTTTCTGCTTCGTAGATTTAAAATATTCGTTCTTTACTAAATTGGTGTTATGAGGTATAATCATTTTCCTCAAATGCAGTCACATCCAGTGCGAGCAAGTGGTCATACTTTAGGACAAGTGTGTTTACCATGATGAATAATCGCATCGTACAGCCGATTTTAAACAAAGGACGTGTTAGAGAAAACAAACCTAAGTCTGTCTCTATTTGTTGTTAAGCTGGCCCCATAAACAGATTTCGACTGATCACTTCAATTTAAGTGAGAACGGTGAATTTACCTCTCATTTCGTTTACTTTCCTTCTAATCATTGCATAGATATTACAGAGGAATCAAGAAAGATTTCACTCTCAAACCAAACTCAAATACCCTAATGTTATTAAACAAATGGCTGAAATCCTGTGGAAGCTTAGAAATGTTCAACTATTCCCGTTTGCTTCTGGCGTAAATACTGTTTTAAACCTGTCAGTCTCACAGCTACTTTCCTTTGTATCCATCATTGTGATCCTGCGTAGTTTAAAGGTAGAAATCGACGCCTTGTTTGCCCCTTCCTTTGGATGGGTTTCCTGAAATGCTGATTGCAGAAACCTGTTCGAATCGTTTACTGTCTCTCGAGAAAACAAGCCCTTCAAGTCTTTTCTAAAACTACGACTTAACGTTGTATACAGAATGGGATTAAAACAACTATTTGCAGTGGTTAGAAGTCTGGCAAACTCATACAGCTGCCTAGTGGCATACGAGTTCAACAGTGATGGATTTGCAATGATACTTAAAATGATCACTTTGTGCGGTAAGATGCATGCCGCATAAACTAACACCAGACCCGTCAACAACTTGGTGGTCTTTCGGTTTTGCTTCTGCCGTTTTTCAGCAACATGCACGCTTGTGTAAATGCCTCGTCTATTGTTCTGCTTGTGAGCCTTTCGTAAGTGGCTGATAATTCCAACGTAAAAGTAAACGAGGCAGAATGCAGGAATTATGAACTGTGGATTAACCAACGCCATGATGTAAGTAAGGTTGAACGAAAGCTGGCTTGGCCACCATTGTATGTCAATGAGACACCTCCCATTTGGTTCCAAGGTCAGGGCAAACACGAATGGTAGTTGCAGTAAGCACGAGTAGACCCAACCAAACGTCACCATAGCCACAGCTTTTGTTTTGCTAAATGGACTCTTCAGCGTCTTCACAATCGCAAGGTATCGCTCATAGCCGATGCAAATCAACATCGATCCCGAAACCGTGACGGAAACAGCGCTCAAAATGTTAATTAGCTTGCAAAGAACAAAACCAAAAGGCCATATGGAGTGGTTCTCAAGGTAAGCCAGGTCAAAGGGAAGGTATAAAAACAAAACCAATAGGTCAGACATGGCCAAGTTTAATATGAAGTATCCTTTTGCGGAACCTAAGTTTTTCTTCTTTGTACCAAGGATAACAGCACAGACTAAGATATTTCCAAGTACACCGATCACAAAAACCACAGGGTACAATACCAGGCGTACTACGCGGATCGCGAGGTGCTCGTCAAAGGCGTAACTGCCGTTCGCCGTTGTATTGTTCATAGTGTTCTTTCAGTTCCTCGTACATGAAAATGAAATTTCTGAAACAAAGAGAGCAAAAATCCAATCATTAGACTTGAGGTTTTGTTTTCCAATTTATGTCATAGTCAATGCAGTAGGAGCGCATGAGAGGTTTCCCAGTGAATTGCAGTAAACGTTTCACGTAAGCATTCTCCATAAGCTATCGAATGTCAAGAAGGTGAAATTTGCTTTCGCACCTCAAGCGAAAAGGAGCACTTTCGAATCTGATCCGGCAAAATTTAATAACTTTTCCCGACAAGCTGACTAAGGGGTTTGTTCGTAGTCAATTTTGACACTTAATTGCACAATTGTATGCAGACGACTTAACAGATTATGTATTTAATGAAAAAATCAATGAGCTACTTTCGAGAAGTGTGAAAAGCGAGCCAAGTTTGTTTACAATTACGTTGTTGCAGAAATGCTTAAAAACATAGGAAAATCAAGGAGTCAACTCACAAACCTTGTGTTACTCAAACAGGTTAAGAATTGTGAATAAGTATAATTCTCTACCATGGCTAACTTATTTCTGAGACCATCTGAATTGGTAATTCTTTAAGAAAACAAAGTGTTACCATGAAAACATGGAAATGTGAACAGTTACCTTTACTGCGAAAGCCATACCAGAAAAACCCCTTTCTTTACCATTAAAAAGGATAAAATGACCCAGTGCGATGTTCTAGGAATTAATGACACTATAAATCCAACTGTACTTTCCAAATCTTTAGCTTTATTCAAATATTATCCGTACCGCGGCTAAAGGACATATTTTTTAACTGTTTGAGTAACAATACACAAGGTGTCAAACCAGGATGAACTGTTTCAGTTTGAACCTATCGCTCCGCTTAGATGAATAAAATTACTCAAAACATTTTTAAGACCAACTTCGCTGGTAGACTTTGTCGAGAACGATGGGGACGAGAATTTAACAATTTATACATGAATCATGGAGAGAAACCCATTAGATACAGCTCGCGAAACCTGGGTCTTGTCCGGTAATGAAACAATCGACAACTTTAGTTCGTAAGTTGCTATAGCGACTAAAAACGAAGATTTATTTATTAGGGTGACTTTTACGTAGGTTTACCTGAGAAAGTATATTGAAGCTCATGAAAACGAAGATTTGAGAGGGAGAGACGATATGTTTGGAATTTTCTAAATCAATCGAGAACTGAAATATCAAAAGTGAGCCGTGGTAAATTTTGAACAGGAATTGGGAGAACACGCTCTGAAGTTGACATGCCATCTGCTACTTATATAAGTTAATTAAGAGGCTGACGTTAAGAAGCACTTAACCATGTCGCAGAAGTGTAACACCCGATACACATGCGTCGAGTTCCTGCCAAGATCTTCCCTGTGCCAAATTACTAGCGTTAATTCTGCTGGTAGTTTTTATCTTCCTTGATCTACCGATATTTTTTATCTTTTTTTTTTTATTGAAGACTTTCGAATGCATGGCTTTACTTTGCTTCACTATGTCAAGTGAAGTTTGTGACAGCATTAAACTCATATCCAACTCAAACAACCACTTTAATTGTTTCTCTCTAAACCGCCGTCAGTTTTGAAATAGAGAATTCAATAGATGACATCACCCATCAAATTCAATCTTAATCTTACTCAATACCATTATTTTCAGTTCTTTCACAAGATATCATTACATAATCGAACTCTCCTGGTTTTTCCCTCTCAAAAATCAAAACCATATTTGGAACGAATCCCCAAGGAGAACTTGGCTTCCATATTCGTTTCTTCAACCGCAGTTCACATACCGTATTTATTCTACTATAAGCCGAGCGATTTTTACACAAATTGAAACTGAAGTGAGTTAAAATTTGGGCTGTAGAGGGTATATGATTTTCATATATTTACAGAGAACTTGGTTGTTACACAGGGTTTCAATCGTTATCGATAATATCTTCTTATTGCAAGAGTAATGATATTACTTACGGGAAGCTTGCCCAATCTTTGATGTGGAGAACTTGAATAACATTTTTTTTTTCAATCTTATTATGTTATGACGAAGTTCAAAATGGTTAATATTAAAATTTAATGATTGCCGATGAGACAACAATGTCTTGCAAGTCTATATATGCTGCGCTAAAAACATACTTTGATCCCTTATAGTCGGAAGAAACTTCGGCTTTGCACTCAGAGATATATTGCACCATGTATGATGTATTTAATATTTTGAAAACATGGAAGATACGTGTCGATAAACCTGACAACCATAGTATTCAGTATTTAATTAGAAATGTGGTTTGGCAATAGGAAAACTGATTCAGATTTGTGTTTACTGCAATTTGGAACGGCGAAATCAACTTCGCTTATTTCTCCTCGTATCCTTGAATACATCTGAAATGAAAGAACTCTCCCACAAGTAGCAGGATTTTTTCACAATGATGCAAAAGCCACCGAGAGGTGGGCATGAAGATTTTATTTCTTGCCCCTTATTGTCTGCATAAATTGGGTTGTAAACCCCTCTAAGATCAAATGGATCTCCGAAAAACGTTATAGTCACACGAGGGGTTCTTGTAATGTCCAGTATGTTGTCAAAAAATGATTGACTGAAGACTCTCGATCAGGAATCCTTCATCAAAAGTGGCACAACTACCTATTCCTTTCCATCTTCGGCTCAACAAGACGCGAACAACAACGAAAATATTCGATTTGGTACGTGATGATGTAGATATGGGACCAAACTATAAACAGCATATAACCAGTTTAATTTCTGTGGAAAAACTGAAAAATTAATAGACTAGTTGAAGCTAAATCTTTTTTCCATGATGTCCTGCATGTAAAAGAGGGTTAAACATGAAACAAAATAAAGATAGGCGTGAAAAGGGGAACAGATTGTAACCTAGTTGAGTTTAGCTCAGAAGGAATGAAGTGTGTTAAGTCTGTTGCGTCGATAATTCTTGTAGTAAAATAATTCGCTTCCACTTCTAACCAATGATAACTTCCACAGCTACTAGATCTACAGCACTGATAAATAAAATCTGTAAATCATCCTATCTCCATCCCGGCTAGAATTATCCTGATCTTGAAGATTACTCATTTGATGAGCGACGTTCGACGAGAATCAAGAAATGATTTCGTTACGCACCTTTTGTGGATGATGATTACGATGAATAAAGAACTAAATTGTCTGCATAATGGTTTTCCTAGTTCAAAATATCCTCTGTCTCGTTATTGAAATATGAATTATGTGTTTTTTACGGCAGACGAACCCTTCATTCGATCGGGAAAAAATGTGTTATTCGATTTGCTAGATCACAAACAGATGTTAAGTAAATCGAAATATAATCAGGAAGAATTTTCAGCGTGTTATTGGTTCCTTTTCTCGATGCGTCAACAGCAGCGAATTTCGTCGTTAATAATCGGTTTGTCAAAATTAACATGGAACTTGTCACTGCTATTTTATTCCAACGTATCAACGTTTCTTTGATGCTGGAACAGTAATCCGCGGTGTCTTACAGGCAAATGTGGTACGTGCTAATTGTAACTAGCAGTTATTGAATCTTTCTCCATTAACTAAAAAAACGTAGGTGGATTATTTTCCCTTCTCCAATTAATTTTTTTTATGGAAGATAGTTAAAAACTTAATTTGCAACCCTTGTTCTGAGATAATGGCAATTAACAATTGACGTAAGTAAACCGTGAAAAGCAGCAAGACAAATCTGGGGAGGTTAAACAGACACCTGAACACAATCATGTTTTATAGGAGCTCATAACACTGGCTTAAGCTAAAAACAGATTCATCTACTTCACTGAAAAACCGCTTCCTAAAATGATTAGTGAGTTGCCTCTTAATTGAGCCATAAAATAGTAGTGAGTGGAAGAGAAACGAAGATTTCACAGCTCTATTACTGGACAAAAAAAACACTCACTTCAACATATTTGTGTGATTAAGTTTAGCACGTTCTGAAGAGATTTAAAACAAGGCGTTTTTCGTGTGATAGCTAGACAACATTATTTTCCTCTTCTCCAAGTGAACAATTATGTTTTTTCGCTGTCTAAAGTTAGCAGTTAACGCCAAAACGTTTATTTCTTTCTTGGTCAGAAGCGCATTCGCCGTTGGAAGGCTATATAAAATGTCACTGTATGAGTATCTTTTGCTTTAACTTTTCATTTATGTGAATATTTGCATATTTCAAAGTAATTCAATTAGGAGAAATTCATCGAACACCTGGACTATCGAAAATATCTTATGAACAATTTCTATCGTAATGAGAAGTGGTTCTAGAGGCATTAAAAATCAGTATTGACTAATTGATATGAAAAGTAGCCTGGCTATACTTTTACGTGATCATTAACTGAGAAAGTTTTCAGTGTTTCCTTCCATCAGGAATTGTGCAAAAGATAAATATCTCTTTCGTAATCCTCATTTCCTTAAGGTTTCTTTCGATTTCCGCTAAAACAGATCAACTTAGTGCGGACACATTTTCAGTTTTTGATTTATTTATTAAAGAAACGTCAGCGAATCAGGCAAACGGCTATGTCGCTTTGAACATTAGTAGTATCTCGTATTTATAGAAGCGACGGCCTAAAAATTTTTTTTCAAAGCGCGTTATAAGCTATGTAGAGCAGAGAACACCAATGAGCTAAAGAACAGTTAGTTAACCTGTCGATGAAGGAACAAGTTTGTGTAAAAAGATAAGACTTCTGATGATCCCTGTTTGCGAACAATTAGCTTTCGCTATTGTACGCCTTTAAATTTTTTTCCTGGGTTTTTTTTTTTAGAATAATTGAGCATAAAAATCCTGATCTCGCCATTTTTCCTCCGATAACCTATATTTCTTCAATTGTAATCTGTTACGTTAGCTTACATATATATAAGACTCTATGAGTTTAACCGAACTTTCTTGACTGCACTTGTATTTGATAAGTGTTATCGTGTTTTCCGCTGAAAATATTTCCATCCCCTGTAGGAGTCCTGCAGCTTAGTAGAAGCTAATGTAATAGAGCGGCGTTTCGCTTGGGAGCATTCCTGACCTCCCCTAGTCTTACGGAATGAACCTCTCCTAGGGAAGGTTTATTTTCCAGGGGTATTAAGAGCAAGAGCTTTCTGAAAAAACTGGTTAGGGGAAGAGGCTGAGTGTCCTACTTCTGTAATGAGATTGCATTTGGTTTTTGTGTTGTAGATAACAGCAGTAGAAATGAAACATGTAGATGAGGTTTCAACTATCACATGCCAGAATAGATTTCAAGTCACGTTTTAAGCATATCTCTTTTTTATCAGCTATCTCAGCTTATCTTTGATTCCACGTTTTATACCTAATTATTTTTCCCGACTTGCTAACTATTTTTCACAAACCACCGATCACGCAAATATCAGTGCAAAAATCACATTGATTGTAGTGTACGTGAGGAGGGCTGGTTTGGCCAGCCTCGTTATAGCACAGAAATTCTACATGGTATTGGGTTATGTTTAAAGCATTTTACACTCGTGGCTAGTTTTCATCCGCTTTAGTGATGAGCAAAAAAATACGTCAACAATAGTCTGTAAGGATCTGATATTGGAACTGTTTTCTGAGGGTCCGCTGAACACTTCTGCAAATTGTTTTCACGTTAGAAACATTGAGGTTTATGACACTTCATTCATAATCTTTTAGAACTAAATCGCGTTAAAATTCGCGGATGAATTGTTTCTTATCGACTGACCTGTTTACTCTGTCTGGTGCTTCAAAAGAAACTCGTTTTTGTTGTAACCTCCATACCGCTAGGTCTGTGATAACTTGGATTTCATCCTTTGCAGATACCGTCAATGAAATGTTAGGGAATGGGTAGTACCCACAATCACCTCCGTTTATGACATACACCAGAGTAAATTTTATAAAACGAGGAAACTCGAGTGAGCTGAAAAGGATAGTTGAGAATACACGTGAGCACGTGGCGCTGTCCAAAATGATATCATAAAAGGTCAGATGTACCAGAAAAAAACTTATTAACTCAACTACCAACTAGTTTAATTTCAATTCTCCGTAGAGTGGAATGGAAAGTAGAACATCTTGACTCACCTCCCCTTCCATATGACACATGAACAGTGATTGACTGCTCATGGACCTTTGTGAAGAGATTGGAAAATTGTAGGACGTGACCATTGTCAAATCTGGTCGGTGTAGAAGTCAATCTAAAACTTTTCACCGGTGGACGCCGACACGTAACACTGGAAAACACGACGAAAAAGATCGAAGTAGTGTAGGATTTGAACCCGAGAAGAGTTCAACCTTTATTGTCTGTCAAACGTCATCGCGCAACAATAGATTACTCAGACTTCGCTAAATTATGCGAGCCAGACGCCAGATTGAAGACATTTGAAAAAATTCAAGCAAAACATCTTGCAAAACAAAAGCTTCGTTTACATGTTATGTTCATTTAAAAAAAACGCTTCCACGTTCGCTCAGAATAAAAAGAGACAGTCACGAATCACGAGTAAATGGAAACTTTAATCACATTTCATGAGAGGAAAATAGCCCCAATAATGTTTCGCGAAAGATCACTGAAAAAGGGACCCTCTGCGCCTCATACTTGTCCATAACTATCAGCTGGAAGCAGAAGTTCATACGACTTTGCCCCTCAAAACAATTATTTCAAAACGATTAGTCGATCACTGGCCCGACTGATAGCTGACAACTACCACAGTGAGCCATTACTGAGTAACAAAACCTTATTTACATACATACATGTAACAGGAGCATCTGGCATTCCGGAAACAACGAGGAACCTTAAACAATCAGCATTTTAAATTTTATTCTATACTGACCGATATCCGTGAGGAAAGTAACTCGTCATGGACATGCAGCGTACTTAGCGTATCCCCATGATTGACATTAGCCGAAGAATTTGAATGAACTAACTAAGGAAAAGCATAAAACGGTAGTTACGAAAACGAAGGATCTTCGTTTTCGTAGTGTGTCTCATGAACATAATCTTTTTCCACAAAGGTAGTACCAACCTCTTTTGAACTTGTTTTAGTAATGTGTCTTCGTTTTCGTGATGGGTCTTCGTTTTCGTAGGGGGTCTTCGTTTTCGTAGAGGGTCTTCGTTTTCGTAATGGGTCTTCGTTTTCGTAACTACCAGCATAAAACACAGTTAAGTCTTTGTTTACTTCATCGTTGTTCAGCGCACAGCACAAAGGGCTAGGTTTTCACACCATTTGGGTAAGGTAATTGAAATTCGGTAAACGGAAGACTAAGGCTAAGGGAGAGGGCAGTGGGGTCCAATGACTTTTATCCAATACTCCCATAAAACCGACTTGTTCCTCTGGATTCATGTGATTCATATACATAGAGTGAGACACCTGGAGTGGAAGTGTTTAAATAGGGTAAATTAAAGGCGATTGTGGAGCCATGGGGAGCCAGGATACCGAGTGAAAAGATGAATAAATTATAGTCGCTTAAGTATATCTATCTCTGCTGTTGTGCATCAAAGCGCTCGAAGTTATTTGTTCCCGGGGAATGTTTGGTAACTGGGAATCCTTTATCTAGTAGGTATTCCACGTTTCATTACAGCGCACTTATATGATAGTTTTTCATTGACATATTTTCATACGAACTTTTAACATTGTTTTATTGAGACAAAGTTATAAAGTCATAGTACTTCTTTCTTGCGAGAGTGAGCTACACAATTTGATGATACATCAGTGATTGTCGCATTATTAATTGTAACTCCAAAGCGAACAACTTGAAATAATGAGAAAACCGACTATTACGACAAAGTGTTGGTCTTAAATTCTTTGTGATTCGGAATGTCCGAATGATTATTTGCTATGTTTGGAATAGCTTTTTTCTTTTTTTTTTTCTTTAACGAAAAACACATATTTATTTATAGAAAAATTATCAGAAATTATCTTTCATTTTCTTAAATTGTAAGTCCAGGCTTTCACTTGGATTGTTGATAGTAAAAACAATTACATAAGAAAATACTTCCTTGGAAAAAAATTGTTGTGGCTTTTTCGAATCAACGGATACATCGATAAAGCAATTCTTGCTTTATGGCTGTTTTCAAAAAGCTTTTTTATTAATGATGGCTGTCGGGTTTATCTTAAAACGTTGTCTTAACTGATTAAAACTTTCACCCAAAGGAGTCACTCGTGATGAATTGGCCATAAGTAATATAATTATTTAGCGTAGACTTAAAGAGGAAAGATCAATACTGACATTGAATAACCAGTAAAATGGAGTCACGCAATGAGCCAACTTAGTTCATAATTAAACCTGCATGAAGAGGCCATCCACGGGCTCCTTTCCAGTGCCCGCCTAACTCAGAGGTGAGTCTTTCAGAGCTTTATTATCAGCACATAAATAGGTAATAGTTAGCCTTATATTCAGATCAGGTTAAAAACGCGTAGAAATTCCAAGAAAGCAAACAAACTAATCGAATGATGTATGAAAATGTCGGGCATCAAAGGCTAACGCGGAGAGCAATTTTAAAGCTGTTGAGAGAAATGCAAAGAAAGAGAGAAATAATTTGCTTTGTAACGTCCGGCATGTCGCTGAAACCATTTATTAACCCTTAAATTCCCATGATTGAACAAGACAGAATTTCTCTTTACAATTTCGTTACAATATTAAGCGAACAAGAGATGAGAATAAAGAAAAATATTGATTGGAGGATATAAGTAGATGCAGTTCCAAATATTCTCCGAACAAACATCATAAGAAATGTATGGTTGGCAGTAAGGAGAATTGCTAAGGAAATCTTGGAAGCGAAAGGGGTCAAAAACATCTGCTAATCTAAATGTTTTAATAAAGGCGTCAGGCTTTTAAGTAGACTCTGACAGTTATTTTTAATCTGCATTTGGCTTCTGAAAGTATTTTGCAATTAGATCTGAAGACGAGAATTATTCATTAGTGACATATTCGCTAAGCGCCGTTAATCATCATAAGAAACTAACAATTTACTCTATGTCTAAGATCAATTAAAAGAAAAACTGCCTAGGGTCGAACATAGATAACGACAAAATACACAACGTTTCATAAATAAGAGGAATTGTTTGGCTCATTTTTGAAGGCAAATTTTATTACGGGACACCTGCTGTTGAATGATAAAGAGTTTTATGTTGATAAACTCAATTTTCTTCAGACGAATGTCCAGCCCTTGGAAAACGGAAGACACGCACATCTCTGACACTTTTCTCCGTAGTTTTGAAGCTAAACGTTGATGAAGAGTCATACAGTTAATGCACTAACACAATGCCAGGTAAATATTTCAGTGTTTTAATTACAGAAGTGTTCAGCCGGTTAGATAACAGTGCCTCAAAAAGGAAAATGTTTTTTATAATGAGAGATCTAAGAAGTTAAAACTTAAATTTTTAAATTCAATGCACATTTGAGTACGTACGAGAGGAAACAAATAACGAATTCAAATTTAAAATAAGCTGAATATTTCACTGTCACATCTAGTTATTGTTTTAAGAAATCTTCGTTACGAAAATACTGAGATCGGTAATTTCAAAATCCACTTCTGTCAAGATAAACTTGAACGTACTTGTTAAACATATCAGTGATGTTTTTCATTAATAGTTTTCCTGTAACTTCAATTTTTCTCGTGGCATATCACAAAAAATCTTCAGAGCCTGTGCAAATTCTCGTTGGTGGAGAAGATAAGATACATTGATCTATCCGCCAAATATAAAAATATATTACCTCATCGAATAGAAATGTTTGAAATTGAAATTTTAAAATTGTAAGAATTGATTAGTTCGTACGATAATATGGCGCTCAGTTATAATTTCATTCTGGTTTTAAGTGCTTTTCAGTTTTTGTCGTTTATTTACGAAATTTAACAACACTACAGGGTCATAAAAGTGCAGTTAACTTTCGTGTTTGAGTTCATTGAAAAGATAATTGAGACCAGGGCGCTAAATTTTGGCGTTTGTTTTTCTAAACAAAACCAAAGGTTACCTATGAACTAGCATTAACTCACAGTGGACCGGCCCCCAACCGGCCCCCCAACCGGCCCCCCACCGGTCGGAGTTTGCTCGACCTTCCTTACTTCTTGTTGTTGGTGTTTTTACTTTTCTCTGACTTTAAATTTCCAGTAAAGCTGCATGGAACGGGTGGACATCATATCCAGAGAAAAATTGAAATATTTTATTTCTGTTTACTGATCATTCGACTTTTTTATGATAACAATTTTGTGTTTATGTCTTAACCTTTGAAATAAATAATTCTTCCTAATTAGGAATTTAAACATCTATCTTCCCGACAACTGGAACCTGCTGTTCATTGAAAACAGATTATTTAATCACCGAATGTTGCTCAGCGTCTGAAGCGTAATGGGTTGAATGACGAATTGAAGTAACACAGACACATTTTCAAAAAGATCCATTTTTTTCTTATCGCAAATATTTAGATTACATATAATAAGGATACAGTCCCTATAAAGACTAAATCGCTGATGCATCAACAAGTGAACCAGCTTTCACAGCCGGACTGGCAGCATATTCCGATATCTGAAGTTACCCTCCAGTAGCTTTTATCTCGAATGTTTTTCCCTTTTTCTTTTCATAAATTCCTTCCAATTAGTCTTTCCTGAGAATTAATACTAATCAGATTACAAAAATAAAAAACATATCGATGCGTTAAGTGAGACAAACTCAAACAAAGGCATAGATATGCCTCACTGTAAAATGAACGCATTTTCAGCAAGCTCTTCGCTAAAACGAAGCATTTCTTCTATGTCTGAAGGCTGAGTGAGAGTTGCAGGTTAATCATTTCTATTGGCAGAACTTAACTGATTGTTTGATTATTTATCGAAATTGAGCTAGATTTTGTAACATTGTTCTGAAATATGTTGATTTTTACGAAATAGAATGATGTGTGTTTTCATCGTTTCCTGAGCAGTCATTCAAAGCACTTTAGTGCCAGCTGCATTATAGATAGAGGTAGCTTATATTTCTCATCACATATGCAGAGAAACAGGGGTGGTTAATTGCTTCAAATTGGTTTATTCGCATCGGGAAAGAACAGGGCCTAGGCGCAAGAAGAACAGAAATTGAACAACGTGAGTTATATGTCCTTTCTTTTCCTTTTTTAGTACGTTTCCGACGGAATTGATTACTGAGGCCGTCATTTTTCCAACATATCAAAGACTCTATGTAGAGAAACAATTATATTGTATGCACGCCATGTCGACAAAAACATTTAATATCATCCGGCTAAACTTCGTAGTCAGAGATCCTCCCGATTATGAGGCATGGAGGCGTTGGTCAGCCTGACCAATGTCAAATAATAGTTTCTTTTAGGATTTTAGTTCTGTGCAGTGTGTCAAATCTTCCCACCAGTCATATATCTTATGCATAAACACTTTAGATATAAGGATCGGGTCGCATTAGAGCGAATTCAAATAACTATCGACTCAAAAATTGCTAACAATTTTGCGTTTTCCGAAGTTCTGCGACAGTTACATCAAACTAATATCCTTTGACCAAAACTCCACTGATTGATTCCTACGTCAATCACAACCCATCTCGCTCTAGAGGAAACTGAAAAAAAACTCAGATTCATTTTCCTGCTAATCTTTTGCGTTGTGGTTCAAGATTGCGTTTCTTGAGATGGATTCGATACTTGCGAATGGAGGAGAGTTTCTAGTTGAAGCCAAAGGTTCTCCAAATTGCTGCCAGTTTAACAGTACCCAGGGTACGAATCACAGGCATTTGAATTAAAAGCTGCACCCAAAGTCGTTTTCTTCGACAGAAAAAGGTTCAGATGAACGAGGAGAATCCTGTAACCCCGCGTCAAAGACAAGCGGACTAAAGTTGACAGATTTTTTGCTTAAACAAACAAAAAAGCCCTAGTGTAACCCGTGCCTAACAACTAAGATCAGGGTTTATTCCAACAACGTTATGTTCAATACACCTTCGCTGTATAAAGAAACTCCTGACGAATACTAAAACCTTTGTCTTGATCCGCAGTGTGCATACAAATTCGAATTGGCATCAGAGAAATCGTCAAGAATTATCGTAATGAATTCTATACATGCGCATAAAGATTTATGTAACTCGAGGGACTGTTGATCATGATGACTTTCACGAGAACCTTTCGCAAAAAGGCTTCGATGTTCCAATTCTACTGCAAAAACGTTCACCTTGGCGCCTAACATTGTTTTTTGTTTTGTTTTTTTCTTTTTTTTCAAAAAAATACGAACTTATTATGTCCGAAATGTGAGAGACGATTTTTACAAGAAATACCGTCTGGAATAGGGAGGAAAATCTTAGAAAATACTGCAGCTGTGAAATTAAGAATAGAAACGATTTCCTTGACAGGCCTAAGAGTGTATACTGTCTAATAACGACAAAATCGCAAAATGTGAAATATTGAACCTTTTGCAGTTCGCGACGAGCTGTCAGTCTAAATATCGCTTTTAAGAAATGATTGAGATTGTTATTGAACCTGGCAGAAGGTTTAAATTACAACCAGAAGCAAATCGTGTATTGGTAGCGAGCGCATTTTTATCTTTATCATATACACGCAAATTCCACCCTAAGTCGATATCAGCTGATTTTTTTGCTGCTCTGCATTAAAAGGCTCAACTTGCTATTAGAAAAAAAGGAGGAAAGCGAAATCACGAATTGACCAGAGACTTAATCGTGTCCTTGGAGAAGTTGCATTGAAACAGAATAGGAACATATAGCCTTACCAAATGATTATTCAGTTGTAAAGGCTACTCTGCTTTACTAAGTACTCTTTCGTTTGATGGTGCTTCAGCCCGTCTGACGGATTGATGCATTTTATTCATCACAGAAGGGCCTATTTGTGAAACATCGCTTTAATTTGACTGAGACATAATAACATTGACAGAAGCTTTTAGGCATAAGTATAAGGGTCCAATATCCTCACCGCAATAACCATATGAATAATAAAGCTATTCCAAGTTTTTTGCTGAATAATTGCAAAATTTAACCAATTTCCTTAATGAGGGTATTTCGGCCTTCAAAAATTAGATTTAAAAGAAATGGATAAAAACGACAGAGAAAAAAACCTTTAATTTTAAATGTTAGCTTTATTTTCCTTTTTTTGTTGGCGCACATACCTTACACTGGTGAACAATTAACCAATGGCGTAGCGGTAAAAAAAAAGGATGATTAATATATTTATTTGTGCAAAGAATTGTCGTCAATTTCTGTTATGATAATCATTTTATGCGTGAACAAAATTGCAATCACTTGACTTGACGCGTGGTAAGATGCATTGCATAGCTGACGAATTCTTACCTTAAACCATAAGCGCTCGACATGCACGGAATTTGTAGCTGACTTCCATCAGGGGATCCAACCACCGTCGTGGAAATATGTGAGGTAACTTGAATGAACGGCGTTATAACATTTTTAAGAGTTACAACAACAGTGTATAATGATTGTGGAATATATGAGTTGTTTTGTTCACATACTTTGCTCCGAAGACCGTTACTTTGGCTTTGGCAAAATTAGTCTCTGAGCGAAAATCGAAAGGTTCAAATCTGTTTACCGAAAACTGTTGTCATCATCTTCCATAGCACACTTGTCCGATAACGAAGAAACACGAGTCGGACCGGATCTAGTACAACTTGAACTGCAGTAATTTAATTTGAAGTCTAGTTTTGATATTTGGCAAATCCAACAAAACAAACACAATAAAATTCATAGGATGTAAACATCAAATGGCTTATGTACGAATGCTAGAAATGCAACTTATTGCGGATGAATAATGACAGCTGCTTACTGGCTTGACGGTTATACTTGAAAATTGATCGCCCCGACATGAGATTAACCCTAAGTAAAAGCATAATTTTTTTCAATTTGGTGAAAATTTGTGACAGTTTGCATTTGAAATAGAGTAAGTAACCAGAGATACCAAAAAAACTAATATCGTATGCCGTGGAACTCACCATAAAATGCCGCTTGGTCGGTCACATGACTCAAAAAGCCATAAGACAAAAAGGAAAAAACAGTTTTTTTTAAAGCATCTGTATAGCTAACTCGTTATGACGGTCATTCGGGTCCAGTTCCATGAAAAGAGAATTTTATTATCAGTTAAATAATGGAGCCAGCTCTGCTTTTCACTGAGGCAAAAAAAAAAGACACTTGAAAAATGAAGAAGACAGATCTTGAAGATGGCTACACCTTTGTACTCTCCTAAGTGCGCGGCGTTCAGGCGTGCGTGTGAGGCCTTTGAAAGCTATAAAATTTGACGCGCAGTCTACAGGGAGGACCGTGTATCTTAGGCGAAAGGTTGTAATTTCGACCCGTCACCTGAGATCATAAAAATAGATCATGTCTTAAGACGAAGAGGTGTCAGTATCTTTAATTACGAATTGTCGGTAGGAAATTAAAGAAAAATTTTGTTCAAAGGTAACATGTCTAATACAATATTGAAAAAATAAAGCGGCGTAGAATCTAATTAACAAGGGTCTTATTATGGAATAAAACTGGCAGAAACGTGAGTTACAAAGATATGTCAATTTTCGTTGGTATACATGTTAGATATGTGCGTTTTTGCTCTTTTCACGTTGGTTCAAGAAATATCATGTTAAAATAGGGTCATTAAATTGCTTTAATTGTGATTAACTTTCCACATGCAATATTACAGTTTTTTCTCTATTGAAATGTGGCTATGGCGGTGAAAACAGCTAAAGTAAAAGAGGATGCTCTTCAGAACTGGACTTCGCTTTGGAGAATTCATTGCTAATCAAGAGGTACTTTCCCTCTTCCCAAAAGATTTCCGTGATTTCCATTCAATATGATAATTATTCTAAAGTGAGACAGTACGTTGAGCTGAACATACATTTACTGAAATTGAAGAAGAACATCATTCTTGACACTCATGCATGATCGACAGGAGTACTTCATGAAAGAGACTTAATGCCCAACGATATTTATCGATTTTGTCTGATTTTGCGGATTTCATAACATGTAGGCTGAATAGCCGGTGTATGTTACACAAAATGGCATCTACTATCATACAGTTGAATTCCAATTCTGAAACCCTCGGTTTCTTCAAACTCCTCGACGATAACTTGCACGAAAGTGTCTTTCCGTCTCGATCAAATACTGTGATTTTACCCCGCGTATTCCTTTTCACCCAGAGGTCTGGAGAATGGGGTTTTAATTTGCCTTCAACAAACGAAGTAAAAGAAATCGATAACTGGATACGTTCATTGTACTTTACATTTCACATGTTTCCGCGAAAATTTGTTCTGCGTTTGAAATACTTCTTGCTGTTAACACGTCAATAGACCCTTAGAAACATTTTGAAAAGTTCGCTAAAGCCTCATATCTTATTGATGATCTTTTGCAACACGTTTGATAAGTTGGTTGTCGAGACGTTCCTCGCCCTTTTCAAAGGAACAGCCGGAGATATAGAGACATTTACTAAATCCAATAATTTGATGTCAGTGCAGTTTGATGTTGAGTTACTACACAACCCGTGTATTCATTTTGGTGTTACAACCAAAGGTTATGACAGCACTTTGAATGTAGCGAATCATAAAATTATCAAGCATTTTTTTTAGCATTTGACAAAACAACTTTTGTAACGCATATTATTGCTCCTAATTATATTTTCTTCACATAGGTGTTTAGGATCCTTCTTGTTCATGAAAAGAATACTGAGTAACCAAGAAGTTCAGGATAGTATTTAAGACAACAATTTTCAGCTAAAGTAAAGTAAGATTAAATAAAAGACGTAAAAACCGTGAACAGCCAATCCTATTACGGAAGACAAAACAATTCCACTAATCGGATTTAAGGATCACCTATTGTCGTAACTTTAAAGTTCACCAAATGTTGCGTAAATACTAAATGCAATCAAAGAGAAATGACGTGTTGGTTCGAAATCACAAGAAACACATACCAGATTGATTTATTGTCAGCAGTCAAGAAAGCGTATGTTTTTCTCACACATTTAATTACGTTCATAACAAAGCGTTTCTACTCCTACATCTCCAGGTGTATGCCTAAAAAAAAAGGTCAACAAAACACTAACTCAACATGAAAGCCGGGGAACATTTATTTTCTTGAGGTCGCTGATCAGCACTCCTAGTAAGGCATTACTATTTTTTAATTAAAAAATACTGAACGATAGAAATTTTGAAGTGCGATTCTTTGAGACTATCGCACTGGACTATTGAATTTAAATTTTATTTCTGCTAAATAGATGCAATTTCAAAATCCAAACACTTACCGCTGTGAACCTTTGTTATTAAGCTATCGAAGCTTGAGCGGCGGTAAAATATAACCAGCGGTTTATATGGAGATGACATTTCGTAAGTTAGGCATTTTGAAAAGTAACTATTAAACTGATGAAAACTAATCACACCGACTCACATAACTCGAGTCCGAGATTGAAGAAGAAAGATCTTAAAAGTAAATCTATGGACGATAAAACAAATTGATAAATGATCAATTTCCCACTGCCAGTAATAAAAGCTGACATCATTTCCTGGAAACAAAACAGTTCTTTAATTTTTCTATAATAATCTGATTTTTTCTGAAATCGAAACGTCCTCAAAGTGAAAGACGCCCCAAAATACGGTTGAGGAAAGCGTAAATTTAGACGTAAGTGACTGTTAACATTAAAAATTTTTACGTGCAAAGTTCGCAGAATAACTCCCTCACCACTTCGTTAAATGGATTAGACTTAATCATTCAAATTTTGCAGTGCTCATGCAACCAAAACGCACTTTTAAATTTGATATAAAGAATAAATAAGCCCTTGTCAATAGCTTTTGTGATCGAAAATTTAAGTGTAAGTAAAATATCTCACACTAAGGTAATCATGAAAATTGATCACTGAAAACGTTACTTTCTTACCTCACAAATTAAAAACGCATATAGAAAGTACAACCTGAGAGCATGCCCTGAAATTCATCGCTCGTTCCTTCCTCATTAACCGAGCAGGTGAAACAAAAACAATATGGCGCTTTTTTTTTTTCGCAGATATAGCTTTTATTTTCATAGTTTGTCTGCCTCCTTACCGCTTCATTGTGAAGCGGATATTTGTAGCTATTGGAAATGGTTTAATTAAACCTTCGCTGTTGGCAATCGGCAAAACAAAGTCATTGTGAAATGCGAGTCAAGAAAATTTGGTATTAGCACGGCGTGAAAATACTTGCTGAAAGGTCAAGCTCTAACCCAGCGTGTATACCTCTAATGCTTTCAATTTCAGTTTTTTTTGTAAGACATACATTAACTCTTCGCTTCACAGAGCAGTGGCTGTTTCGACCGACGAAATCAGCTAAAATGTGTGCTCATTCCTGTCGGAGTCACAGTTCAAATCAACACAAGGTATATCAATAGTTTTGTTCGAAAATAATTTAGAGCTTCGGAGGTATTAACGTTCAAAACCCAATAGTACCGTTGATTTCAGTTTGCGGTCTGCTTTCATTTTTGTGCACTTCAATCAACAAAACAGATCTTAAATGTATCTCACATGTATTTAAAGTTCACCAAGCGGTTTTCTAGCATATAGTGAAGTTCCAATGTTATACTTTAATTCTGAGGAATGTTTTTCTAGGCAAGATATCCTGTTGTTGTGCAAATTGTTTTAGGACTTATCATATAGTAGTCCACTGAACTCATGTTATTCAACCAGACTGCGTCAAGAAAAGTAATTAGGTAATCGGCGTCTCCTGCTACGCAGGGAGGAAGTTCAAGTTATAAATGCAAATGGCGTAACTCGTTTTTGTTTTTAATGAGAAGAGTCTATCTGATAAGTTACCTAAATTCTCAGTGTTTTCAAAACTAAAAAGCACGGATGAAACTTAAACATTATTACTATCATTATAAACCGAAGGAAACGGCGACTGAAAACTGAAAACATGCATTATCCATTATCCCAGAAAATTGATCCTGCATGGAAGTGCCACCGTTCGCGAATTGGCTAGAAGCGAGAGTCGGTGTATTAGAACATCCTTTCAAAATTCTTAGCAACAATCGCTATTTATTGAATGTTTTCAATTATCTTACAAAAATTTTGCAAAAGTTCATTTCAAGAGCGTTCATATAAAGAAAAACTGAATTCAATACAGTTAAAATTATCGGTAGTTGATATGTTAACATCATCGAAAAGAAAATCTGGGAAAAACGTAAACAATACCCTTTTGCGTGTTTTAAATCGTGAGGAGCATTGAGCTTTCGAGAACATTTTTTACGGACGAGCTATGGATGAGATGATGCCAAAAGCATGCAATGAAGCAGATAGAGTGCAAGAAAGGGAGGGAGAGGGGGAGGGGAGGGGAAGGGGGAGGGGAGAGGAAAGGGGAGGGGGAGGGGAAAGGGAAAAGGTAACATGCAGGGTCTAGTAGCGGGCCGTGGTTTTCCATAGGGCATGAAGTTCTGAATCAGTGACGAAAAATTTAGCAGAAACGTTAGTGAAAAGGATCTTATAATTAAAAATGATCTAATACTTTAAGTTTGCAAGCCTTCATCATATCAGATGGGTTTCTATTTCTCGCAGAACGATGAGCGATAGACATAAAACACTGAATTGATGTATCATGGGCGACAACAGCACAACGTCTCCTACTCCTTCCCAGGCTTCTGCTCTGACAGCCGGCAATGTTGGTCTCATTTTATATCTGTCTTTCTTGGTTGTAATTGCTTTGTTTGGAAATGGCCTGTTGTTAACAGTAATTGTCAAGAGGCAACTTCTACAAAACGTTCATTACTATTTCATACTCAGCCTAGCTACGTCAGATTTCCTGAACGCTTTGTTGAAGATTCCCACCACTATTCTTGGAAAATTTGATCGCGGCTGGTATCCAAGTTACATCATCTGCTACTTTACTACTCCTCTAGGGGTACTTTTTGGTGCAGCGTCCGTTTTCAGTTTGTCAGCGGTAGCCGTCAATAGATACTTTGTAATTTCGTCACCGCTGAATTACTCGGACAGAATGCCGCCTTTACTAGCCAAGATCATTCTGGCCGTGATTTGGCTCAGCAGTTTTTGTCTCGCGACTCCACCTGTGTTGTGGAGGGAAAAAGAAGCAATCTGCCGTAGTGGAAACATCTCGAAAGAACATTACACTTCTGAAGTGTTGTATTTTTTTCTAGCGTTATGGCTATTTGTGATCCTGATTCCAAGCATAGTTATGAGCGTGTCGTACGTGAAAATTTATTTGATCGCTCGTTATCATGCTTTACAAATAGACTCACAAAACCAGGCCAGTACACTGTGCCAACAGACAAAGAAAAGACGAAAGGATTTCAAAGCTGCTGCGGTGTTAGCCGTGATTGGTGGAATTTTCATCCTTTGCTGGTTTCCTTTCTTCGTCGTGCAGACTGTTCACAAGTTTGGTAAAAGTAAAATCAGTCCGATCTATTTTAACGTTTTCTTATGTGTCATGTATACAAACTCGGCGTTAGACCCTATTCTGTTGTTTCTTTTTAATGCCGAGATACGAAGAGCATTGATAAAAATGCTCTGCAAAGCGCTCTTCAAACCCAAGGCACTCTCATCTCAATCAGAGCTGTCTTCGTTTTTAAATCAAGGAACATGACGGAAGGAAGAAAGACCAAAGAGTGATCCCGAAATATGATAAATAAGAGCTGTACTTATGTAACATACTGAAAACGGCGGTAAAATGTTTTAAATCTTTCTATTACAGGTCGTCGTAATAAAATGTTTCGACCAAGACTCTTATCTAAAACACACTCAAGTAAACTAGCGAGGAATGTGACACTTGTCAGAATATCAAAGGAGGATACACCAGTAGATTCTATGATACAAAGTTTCTGAAAGATAACCATCACTAACTTAATTACACATGAAACCGTTAATAGACAATAGAACACAAATGTACCATGAAAAATTTCTGAGGGAAGAAGTAAAATGAAGAGCGTCGATAAACACTTGGAAAATGCGAACACAATATGCCCAAAGCAAAGGGTTGTAACTTTTAAGTGATGGAGAAGTTTTAAGCTCACAAAATCGATATTTCAGATTTAGGCTTTACTTCAGATCATTTCAAAAGGATAGATGTTGAAGCTTTGTAAAGAGATTGATGTTCACATTAGTCTTAAATTTGTTTAAAGTTCACAACTAGACTGACTGAACACAAACGAGCGACAACAGTCCTTCTCAGGACTACACTCATCCGGATGATCAAACTACACTATTACATGTTACCCCTGGGTTCAAACCATTTACTGTTTTAAATTTTAATTCAGAATTTTTCTACCAAAATGCCAAACATTTGGCTTAATCTTTCGGTCATCCTTGCTTCTTCAGTCATCTGAAATATAAAACAAATGAAATTATTTCAGTCGAGGGTAGTTTACACCATAGGCTTTTGAAAGCAATATAGGAGTCATACCGTAGCTAGGTTTTAATTCCCATCGTATATTGTGGATCAAAAGCGGGAACCTTTCAAACTCCTGCCCATTAGAATACTTCTCATGAAATTTGAGCATGCGCAAACTTTACCACCTCAGGTAGCGGATGACAAGACATCACTCTGCTCCGCCAGCCACACCCTACAAAATCTGAAATTTTGAACACGCATCGACATGTTGACCCACCTAGTTGAAGCAGAGTCCCCATTTCTTGTCCCTGCTGTAACTAGGAGTTGTTGAGCACCATTTCCTTTTGTATCTGTGTCCATCAGTTGTACAAGAATGGTATAGTTTATCTTTGAAACGGAAAGGAAACTCGCAGCATTTCCCACGTGAATTTCCTCCATACGTATCGACGCCGCTTTCGCAAGTTTCTAAAAACAATGTTCTAATGCTTGATTCAGCTCTAAAATGTGTTCTAAGATCCCTTAAACATTCTGATATTTAAGTAGTGAGTACATAATTCCTTAGATCGTTCCCCAGTTGAGCGTGATAACTAAACTTGCCGCGCAAAATTTGGAAGAGGAAGCCTCAGTAACTGTTGGCACTGAAAATTCTTTACGTAATCACATGACAAAGGTTCTTTTACAGTAAATATATTGAATTCGCCACTCAGTGGACAGTCTTGGGTACCTCTGGCTACATTACAGCGATGCTTTATGCCCAATTATTTTGTTCCCTCTGTGTGAAATCTTCGCCAATCTCATATGGTATTATTGTAATAATAACAATTCTTAGTATCATGGTTATACTGCTATCATTATTTTAATTACTATTAAAAAAGTATACTCCAACACTTTCTTGTGCCTACATTCTACAGCATACACCAGTACGTTTTTCTTTTGTGACTTTGAATTCAGAACATAAAACTGACTTACCAATCCAGCACTTGTGAGCCATAAAAAAACTCCCGTAGTCATAAACAGAGCACTTTGCAACATTGTTCTTGAAGTCTGACTCAGCCACTTGGTTTCCAGGATTGAGTTGAATTCGAAGAAAAAAAGCTCCGCTGAAGATGCCGGTGTAGTCGATCCACTGACAGTCAATCTTATGACTGTAAATATCAAAGCATCCGGGAGATAAGCCCTGGTCACCGCCCCTGGTGCAATCCCATTTCTTCTCGAAGCCCGGATCACAATCTGTATCTTCCAAACAAAAACTGGCCTTATGCCCGTCAGCGGCTTTTCCCCAGTTACCCCGACCTTTAAAGCAAAAAGCGATTTTGTTATATATAGATAAAAGATTGAAGTGGCAAAATTGTGGAACAGTGAGAATATTTCGTTCCACCTCTTTGACAAACTAATCGCGAAGAAACTTTTGAGGTAAAAAATAAAATTAATCAACTGTATAACGATCTGGCGCCAATAACGCTTCCAACAAGAGGAATTAGTTTCCAAAATGGTGGATTCGAATCGCGAATTTTTTAAACCTGGAAACATACTTTTTCCTTTTCTCGAGTTATTTTTAAAATGATACCCAATTTTTCGTAGTTATTTTTCCAACAACCTCGGCGATCTTTTTTTAATCTCCTACTGAGTGTGATATCGATTTCTTGTAGATTCGACGGTGGAGTTTTGACAAACTATATGAGGATTTTTTTCCATTCTTCGCAAGAGAAAATTCAGGGACATCATTCTTTTCTGTTGTTCTACGATTCCTCTTTATTCTCATTATGAAATTAGAATTTAATGAAGATAAATAGTTTAGCCTGAAAAACTCTAAGCGAAAATCTCGCTGAGAAAATGTACTAATGGATGGAGCATGTCATTTGATAACTGAGTCCTTGCGTGCAACTGAGTTAAAAATTAGATTTCTAAAATATATTCATAAATTTCGTTACAAGAAATAATTTCGAAAAACCAAACATCAGCCGGTCAGATCGAAGGAAGTGTAATGAGCCATGAGAACAAAGATGTTGTTCGTGAGACGAGCGCTACAAGCACAGGAAAAGTGTACATCTGATTAACTAAGAATTTTAGTCTGGCTCCTTTTTTAAGGAACCAGATCCTGAGGGCAAAGTGGTTGAGTAAATACTACTGAAACCATTTCGATCTAAGTTAGACACTCAATAGGAAATCTCTCTATCCCAAAAGACTAGCTGACAAGAGCAATCATGGCTCGTACTCACGTAGCAGAGCATAGGTAGCAAATGTCTCCATAGAGTGATGGTGGCCATGACACTGGTGGTACTGCCAGGCTGACCTGGGCGAGTTCGGTCGGAAATGGTCCCATCCTCTGTTTTCAATCTTTGTTGTAAATCGTAACAGTTTTCGCATCCGGTTTCGCCCAGCCCCACTTGAACTGAGTGGCAAAAATGATTAGGATAGGTTAATTTGTACGACTATTAATTCCAAATTAATATTTTTATTAATTAATTAATAAAAATTCCAAGCGTGAAGTAGAAAGGGTTAATGGGAAATTATTGCTCACAGTCGTTAATTGTGGAAAACTACCAACGGAGCTGGAATTAAAAACATTTGCATAACATTTCCTCTTTAAATTTCCTGAACTGGCCTTGTAACAGAAGGCTAACTCTGGGCAAGGTCACTAACGAAATGTCGTTGTCAAATAAGTCCAGGAAATGAAATATTATAGTCAATTTTAAGCATACACTCAAGAGTTTCTGGAAGATTTTTCGTGAGATCTCGAAAACATCACAAAACTCAGTTACATCACTGTTACATCAACACTTCGTTAGTTAAAATCTTACCGTCAGGGGACAACATACCTAAAGAGAACGTCTGCACTTTTTGCTAAACAGTTCTCCTCATATGCACATTGCAGAAAGTCAACGTGGAGTGACTGCGTACGCATCTCTTCTCTCAAAGCTTCAGTATCGATGACGAGATCTGGTAACTCTGTTAACCAAAAGACGGTACACTGATTAGTCCAAGTTGTTATCGTTCTCTTTTTCTTTCCCTTCTTTTCATCTGCTGCCTTTACAAAATCATCTGATGGCGGATTTTTCATATAGATTTATTTATAATCAGCTTGGAATTATTATTAACAGATGTCATCCGACTCTAAATAATTCCTCTTAATATCCTAATTCTTAGGATACTCGCTATTGCTCCATCGACTTCCTTAATTTCGAAAATATTTCTCCTGTCATTTTAATGTAAAGCGGTATAAGAAAGTGCCCCATCATTAAATCACCCTTAATGTCTACTGTCGAAATACTCGAGCTTGTTCTTGTTTTTTTCCACGTGTATAGTCCTTGAAAGGGAAGACAGCTTTCTTCTTGTGCATTGAACAACAAGAATAACCCAGAAACTGTAATGAATGGATCTGAAATCAGTGAGACTTATCTTCTACGGAAACTGATTTCATTTTGTTTGCTTTTACGCCAATTAAAACAAAATTCGCCCAGGGATACAAGTTCTCAGGCAAATCTGAACGAAAAAGTTATTGAACCTTACCATCTATGCAAATGACTCCTGCTAATTTGTGTTTGTGGCTGCAAGTTGTATTGTCCCACTGATGACGTTGACAGTTGTAAATGGAGATCTCGTCCACGCGACATATTACTCCAGACATTATAACTTTCAGATTTGTGGGGCCAAAATAATTCTGCGTAGCTGCTTGACTAGCGTATCCAAGATTCAACTGTCGGCACACCACCATTGCTTCTTCTATTCGCCAGTTATCTGCACAAACAGTTCCCCATCGTCCGTCACGAAAAACTTCCACTCGACCTTCGAAGGAATTTGCACCACCAGCGAGCCTAATCTAGGAGACAAGAACAGAGCTTGAAATTTACGACTCGAGACTCGATTCCTGTTAAATTGCATCATTATAAACAACTACATATCACGTTGTGGTAAAAATGGAAAGGATACTTTTGAAACCCACCCTCGTTCTGCATATTTACATCATGAAGTTAGGTATGTCCTTCGTTGGTGTCCCCCCCTCCCCCCCACCCAACGGCACTACTTCAGGATTTTTAGACAGTTCACCAATTGCTATCATTTTTTCGTGGCAATAGAGAGGCGCTGTAAGACAAACTGACCACTCAATCCACCTTTTAGCGTGTTAACCAAAGGCGAACGCTTTTTCTAGTATCTTACATCAGTTATCGTGATTCTCCTTTTCATGGTGCATAACTATTTTTGACGCATTTAACTTTGCATGATTTTTGAGGTTTGCCCGTCGCATCGTCGTAATATACCAAACTGAAAAGTCGTGTGCCTGAGTTAGCCTCTCATATAGCGCCTAACTTAAAGTATCTCAGCCAAGTATTTGGGTCGGAGCGACCACTTCACACAACTTTAACGCAGTCTTGGATCAGCAGTGATTGGTCCTCCATCAAATTTGTATTTAAAATAATTCAACGGAAAGTTGTTCTTCGTTTGTTTGAAATTCTCGCTTCTCTATGGTGTTTTGATCCCTTACCAAACTATTTTGTCACAAGTAGCTTTGTATAATTTGAAACACATCTGAAAAGAATTGTAGTTCCCTTGAACGGAGTTTATGAAGTAGAACCCTTTGCAATTGAAAAAAAGTTTAATATTTGTTATTTAAACAAATCAATAAATTGTTAAGAAATCCAGGGATATAACCTTATGGCCTTGAAGTTTTGGAGAATGACATTTGACGCTAGCGTCTTCATAGTGATTACATTCTGTTCTGCGCCAACCGTGATGTTGACATTGGTTGATGTTTCTCTCGTCACCCTGACAGCGTAAATTGTGCAGCATCTCCTAGAAAAGTACACAAATACGCTTAGTCAATTTTGAAAACACTCATTTGTAATGCTTCCATGGTTTCATGATAATATGAAAAAGAAGTGCGATTTTTTCCCTATTCCGTATTTGAACCCTTATCTTAGCCCCCTTAGACCAAACTGCCTTCGACTTTCACCCAACATCTTTCACTAATATAAACATATATATAATAAATATAAATAAAAATATAAATAATATATTGAAAAACATATCAGTAAAGAACTTTACCTTTCCAATACCTCTCCCAAAGTACGCGCTGTGGGCTGCTACTGCCGCTGACCCATAGCCTAAAAACCTGCAGATTACATTAGCTTCCTTCAGTGTCCAGTGGTCGTCGCATATGGTTCTCCATTCATTACGGTACTTCATTTCCACTCGCCCCTCAGAAACCATGGCACCACTTCGAAGTCGCACCACTGGAGGCTACGAATGTGCAAGTGAATTTTTTAACAATGTTAACTACCTGTCCAAGTAAAATTTAGAACCGAAATTCTTGCTTCTGTTTTTGATGTTTATTTGTTTGTTCAATCATCTCTGCAATCAAATTAATATTTTGACAAGTGTTATTGCCAAAAAAACTACTGAACAAGAGTTTTAACCACCTGCGTGATATTTTTGCGCGCGCATTTGATCCTCAGTGCTCCTCCAATCTCACATTTGTGGTGAATCCAACCTGCATGGTCACACGACACAATCGATGACTCCCATCCTTTGCATGTGACTTGGTCCAGCCAATAGACGGGCTCCAAATCTTGGATGGTTTCTGTATAGGACCCATTTTTCTCAGCATTAGGAAATCCCAGTTGGCCGCACAACACGAACGAGTTCAGTTGAGTCCACTGAGAAGGACAAATGTAACCCCACTCTCCCTCGTGCTCCACTTGAACGACACCTTCTGATATGTAGTCATCAACAACTGGGCCTTGTAACTTTAAGTTCACGTGTACCACCTCAATAAAAGAAGAATCGAAATCATAACTTAAATGAGCAACAGATCTGATTTTATTACATCCTTGGGGTAAGGAATTAATTAATACTTTGTGAGTTTTCGTCAAAGAGACGGAGATATATAAGGCTTATCATGAGCCGGGTTAACCCTTTTACACCCTATCATCAGTATGCATATTCTCCATACTGTTCTCCATACATTTCCTAAGATGCTGACGGGGAGAATTTGGTTAACAATCAAGAGCTTCTTCAGTTGGTAATCATTTCCTTTATTCATGTGACCTTAATGAGTGATGCAGGAGCGATATTGTACGGAGAAATTAGATACTGGTTACTCTTACGGGTCAGAAGGTTAATGTAGAGATGTGATAATTAAGTAAGACGGTATGTCCGTCACCCGATTTATTTATTCTATTCTCTTTTTAATCTCAGCTTCATTTGGTGCAAAGTCATGCTCACCGAGACTTGAACCCAGCCAAGTCTATCGGATGCTGCACCACTGAGAGTATTGAAAGCCACACGTGCTTTTTTGAATACCCTGCCAATGATGTTAAGAATGCTCATTATGGCTCGCTTATAAGTGACATAGTATTCTTCATACCTCTCCGCTGGCTGATGATGGCTCGGGCTCGAATATTGTGTCACTTCGATGTAGCTTGCATATAACACCAGCCTGATGAGTTGAACGACAGTTGTGTTGTCCCCAGTCTCTGTGTGAGCATCTTTCAATGTCATATTCTCTACCACCGCATATGACGTCATCTAACCAAAATTTTCCATCTCCACGACCAAAGGTTAGGTGTCTAAGGACATTTTAAGCAAAATGTTAAAAATTGTTATAGATGCTGTTTGGTAAGTTATCCACACAGGGAACTCCACATAACATAAGTTATCCGCATAGGGAGATTTATTTTCTGCATACAAACCCACAGACAACCCACAATTCCTCCAATCGCTCTGACGAAGGGCTAACGCTCGAAACGTCAGCCTTTTAACTCATTACGGTGGCCTATTCACGTTTTCAACTCAGTTGTTAACACTAAATTACTTGCTATTCTCTCCCAGCGACGCAGCACCACGGTCTCTTTAGAAACCTACCCCTTTTACACATAGGGAAAACTTTCCTATATACTTTCCAAATCGCTATAGGGGTAAGTTTCGAAGGAAACTATGGAAGTGCGTCGGTGAGGGGTAATTTCGTGTCATCACCTGAGTTGATAATGTAAATTGGCCCAGAGAAATAAATTTTAAAGCTGACGTTTTGAGCGTTAGCCCTCAATCAAAACGAATCAAGGGGTGGGGGTTATGTTTGGTTTAGATACCGAAAGATGGAGCTACACCATTGGTTGGGACATATGATAACGTGAAAAACACAAGAATAAATAAGTAAGTTTTTAAGTTAAAATAATCATCTTTATTGTCAAACTTCTCCTGAATTGTTCAAATGGACAATTTCGTATGGTCGACCTTCAAACTGCAGTATGCATGACAAGCGTGGCGAGTGCGAGACAAACGCGAAGTGCGTGACTTGCCCTTCGTGCTGTCATCGCTCATGCCTCGCTTTTGTTATCGCTTACCTGAAAATTGACAGAATATTAACGCTCTTTCTGTTTCTGTGCTCCCTATGCACTTAGGAACCTTTAAACACCACGCATACAAAAATCATCAGCACAAAACACTAGAGGATGACATTTGCTGACCCACAAGATAGAAACGTATGCTCACCCTTTTGTAAAGCGCAACGCATCTGGATATCCAAGCATTCTACAAACTACATTGGCCGCCTTCTTGTTCCATCCATGGTCACAAACTGCTCTCCATTCGTCGTCGTATTTCACCTCAACTCGGCCTTCAAACGCGTGCTTTCCACCAATAAGTCTCACCTCTGTGCCACCGGCAAACCTCAGGCAAGAGACGAACGCGATAAGCAAAACACACATCATGTTGAGTCGATCTTCATTTGGTGCCGTCCGTTGCATAAGTGAACAAAACAATGTATTTTTATGGGTAGGCCCGCTGCCAGAAGGGAAAAACAACTATCTTTTGTTTTTGAAAATTTGTGTCGACATCAGACACGCAAGTAAAAGTATCAAATTCCCTTTTGACATCACGCAAAGGTTACTAATAAATACTAATACAGTATTTATATAGCGCTATTTCTATTGCTATTCAATAGCGCTTTACAATTCATTTATAAAAGACATTGATAAAATTTATAAAAACGTAAAAAATCACTAAAATATGAGTAAAAAACTAGCTAATAAAAAATATGTAATGATGAGAGTAAAAAACTGTGAAACTTATAATAGAACTAATTCACTAACTAATTAACTAACTAACTAACTAACTAACTAACTAACTAGCTGACTAACTAATTAACTAACCAACTAACTAGCGACCTAGCTAACTATAAAATAGCTAATTAACTCGCTAAGCTAATTATAAAATTTGTTAAGAAGGTTAATTATAAAATTTGTTAAAAAGGTATGTCTTTATACAGGTCTTAAAGTCTGATAGCGAGCTGCTCCCTTTTATGATGTTCGGAAGAGAGTTCCATAGAGTCGGTGCTACAAAAGAGAAGCACCTGTGACCATAACTTACTAGCTTGACAGGTGGTACTTTAAGTAAGTTTTTGGAGGAGGACCTCAGATTTCTGGTTGGTACATAAGGCTTCAGCAGTTCAGTGATGTAACTAGGGGCTTGTCCGTTGAGCGCTTTGAAAGTCAAAAGTAATATCTTGTAATCTTGTAATCTTGTAGCCCATAACATTCCAAAGAACGCACGCGAGGGAGACTACCAGTATGAAAACTTTCCGCGAAGAAGGATTTGAGACAAAACAAAATAAAGGTGCTTTCATCAAGTTGTAATAAGATTATCAAACCATGGGGATCTTAGAAAAGCTTAATAGACCATGATGAGATTTTTTGTAATCATAATTGTCAGTTACATGTACTAAGAAAGAATATAAAAGCGGTTTTATTTGAGAGTTGCAGTGCTTGAGTAACAACTTGGAGTTGGGTTTGATTCGCTAGTTTAATATTCAATATAAATTCCGTGTTTCGAACAATTGACTTCGGAGTCATTACATTAATTATCTATTTTTTTAACGTTCCGCAAACTTTACTCGTGATTTATCTATTCGCTAAAAAAATACCCTTAATTCAAAACTAGAAAGAACCATTTCTCTAAAAATGAAACCACAAAAAGTATTACCTATGTATGTGATTCAGTCCCCGGTCAGGGGCGCTTCCATATCAATAATCAACCGCTCCTTAAAATAATGATCAGTTCCTCTTCTCTCATGACCCTTACATTTGATTCAAGCGTGATGTTGTAGGGAGAAATTAGAAATCAGTCACTCTGTGAGCTTAAGGGTTAAACAGCAACGTCTTCTTTACACTCATCCTTACTTTTTGGAAAATAAACAAAATAACGTCGAAAAGACGCCGGCTCAAAACCAATAGAGACCCCGATTCATCTATTTCAACGGCAGTCAACAAAATGTTGGTGTGCTCGCAGTAATGCGAAACTGCTTCTCAGTGGTACTGTATTTCATGGGTTAAACGCAAATTGCAGCAATATATTGCACTGAAACAGTTGGCAATTGATGACGATGGGGGAGGGGGGGGGGGAAGGGGGTGAGTGAAAGAGTAAATGATTTGGAAACAAGACTAAAAAAAATGGTGAGGGTAATTTTTAACATTCAATCAGAACACAAATAACCTGCGATACGAAATGAAAAGTAAAAGCAGTGATATTTATTTGAACAGCAAGCTCATTAAGATAGAGCGAGCACCCATGCTGAGAGCATTACACAGCGAGCATAACTACATAACAAAATGAGGTTTAATTGTGAAATTTGATCCAAAGAATGTGTTATGATGGAAGTTAAGGAAAGAAAGATAAGATAAAATAAATACTTACTCGATATTCAAGGAAGGGCAAACATCGATTGTGTAAAAAGAGTGAAATAAATACTAGAGGAGTAACAATCACATGAGCATGTTCACACGTAGCTCCCTCGGACATCTTAGAAATTATAGAGATTAACGATTTTTTTGAGCGGCTTAAGCTCTTAGAAGCCTAGTGAGTGAGGAAAAATTTCGTGCCTGAATATTTCTCGTATACGTAGGCAGAAAGATGTTGACAATGTAGTGTCAAAACTTTGCTTGTAATTTGTATAAGTTACACCAAACTCTCTCAACATTGAACCATGTAAACCCGGAGAGCGTGAGAAATATTATCTCCTACTAGCACCGAATTAAAATTTCCTGATAGTCATGTCTCAAGACATCCAAGCGGTTAAAGGCGCCCAATTACTTAACTTTCTCTGGGGTGGGTAATCTAAGAAAAATGCGCTCTACGCTTCCTTATACCTGGACAACTTTAACAGGTACATTAGAAATGTAAAATTTTTTCCAGAGATTGTATAATATATTTTCGAGACAAAAGCTTGTAGGAAACAAATTCAATTGGCAGAAAAAGGTTTTGGAATAAAAACACTGTTACACCGAGTAATTCGCAGTATCTTCAACTCCTGATGCAATAAACGTTATACAAAGAGTTGCCAACAAAGGTTGCAACAAAAGTTGCAACAAAAGTTGCAACAAAAGTTGCAACAAAAGTTTGCAAACAGTTGCTAAGGCTTCCGAGGGAGAACTGCCAGCAAACGTCCAAGGCTAGACATGCTCGACGTAAACCCCCCCCCCCCCCGAAGGTGCTAAATGTTAACTGAAGGCTCATTTGAGTCATGTTATGAGATCGACAAGTAATAGCAGCAAAGTAATAATAAAATATAATAACTACTTTTTAAGCTTACGATAACTCTATGGTTGATATATTGCCAACATTGTAGGACACAAAAATCCTTGATTTCCACCCTTTCCCTACTAGCAACGACTTGCACCTCCCTCCCCTCCCGCCTTGAGCAAAGTCATATTTCACATTGCATTCGATATATGGCTTTTGAAATAATCATGTTTGGAATGCAGGTCAGTTTAATATTTTAATCGTAACATATTCCCCACTTTTTGTCTTTTTTAAACTCATAAGTGGTAGAGCACCACCTTTT